TAACAAAAAGGTTGAATACTTATTGACTCAAGACATTTCAGCTTTTCATTTTGTATTAATATGTAAAACGTTAAAAAAATATAGTTCCACTTTGACATTATGCGGTATTATGTGTAGGCCAGTGACAAAAAAATCTATATTTAATCTGTTTTAAATTCAGGCTGTAACACAAAATGTGGAAAAAATCAAGGGTTGTGAATACTTTCTGAAGGCACTGTATGTGATGGTGTGGAACCCAGATCTCTAATAGCCAGCCAGGCAGGATGCAGTGTCAACTTTTAACTGTTGCCTGGCGTACATTCATCTGCCTCTCTCCTCCTCACGGCTGTCTGCTGGGCTAGCAGTCAAGTCAATCAGTGCACAAAGCATATCAGGGTCTGCAATGGTTCAGCTTTTTGTGATTATGCAAGTTATGTTGCTTTCCACAATGATCCCTGTTACATACGCATGTTATACCTTATATCTGATCGTAAATACGATTTAATAGATTCCAGTTTTTCAGTCTTTACAAGCTCAGTAAAAGGCTGAGTTAATCCCCAATCTCCTAAATCATTGTAAGCCTACATTATGTAATAATATAATGTACATAATGTAAGCCTACATTATTGTCTGAATATAAAGTATGTAGAACTGCTGTGGGTCTGAGGCTCTGATTGTGGCGTGTGAAAGATCTTGCGTGCATCTGAAGCTTAGACAGTCTATGGTCTGAAGTGTCATGTAATTACTTAATAACATTACTCACATTGTTAAAACTAGTGAATACCCACAATCCCCCTCGGGTGGGTGAGGAATGAGGTCACGACATGCCACTAAAATTAGACACTTGGGAAAACAGCCATTTGTTATCAAATCAAATCAAATCAAATTGTATTGGTCACATGCGCCGAATACAACAGGTGCAGACATTACAGTGAAATGCTTACTTACAGCCCTTAACCAACAGTGCATTTATTTTAACAAAAAAAGTAAAAATAAAACAACAACAAAAAAAGTGTTGAGGAAAGAAAGAGCAGAAGTAAAATAAAATAACAGTAGGGAGGCTATATATACAGGGGGGTACCGGTGCAGAGTCAATGTGCGGGGGCACCGGCTAGTTGAGATAATTGAAGTAATATGTACATGTGGGTAGAGTTAAAGTGACTATGCATAAATACTTAACAGAGTAGCAGCAGCGTAAAAAGGATGGGGTGGGGGGGCAGTGCAAATAGTCCGGGTAGCCATGATTAGCTGTTCAGGAGTCTTATGGCTTGGGGGTAAAAGCTGTTGAGAAGTCTTTTGGACCTAGACTTGGCACTCCGGTACCGCTTGCCGTGCGGTAGCAGGGAGAACAGTCTATGACTAGGGTGGCTGGAGTCTTTGATAATTTTGAGGGCCTTCCTCTGACACCGCCTGGTATAGAGGTCCTGGATGGCAGGAAGCTTGGCCCCAGTGATGTACTGGGCCGTACGCACTACCCTCTGTAGTGCCTTGCGGTCGGAGGCCAAGCAGTTGCCATACCAGGCGGTGATGCAACCAGTCAGGATGCTCTCGATGGTGCAGCTGTAGAATTTTTTGAGGATCTGAGGACCCATGCCAAATCTTTTCAGTCTCCTGAGGTGGAATAGGCTTTGTCGTGCGCTCTTCACGACTGTCTTGGTGTGTTTGGACCATGATAGTTCGTTGGTGATGCCTACATTCCTGCAAAATTACCTCCATTATTAGTGATATTTCAAGGGGACCGTAGACCATAGAATTAGTATTCTATTTCTATATCATAGACAGCCTATTGGGACCAGGAATGAATGCAGAGTATAAAACATCTGGCATCAACTAAATTACCTGGTAGTTTGAAACATGAATCTCCTCAGGCTCAGTTCATTGTCATATTGGAGGGCAGACCTACCTAGGTGGCATCTACAAAGGCATGTCTGCCAGAGTTTGCTTACCTTGCCTTTTAAAAAGAAACCATTTGCCATTTTTCTTAGAATGGAGGGGGGTGTTAAGGGATTTGTGCAAAAAGGAAACTACATGCAACATTTCCTCCACAATCAGAGCTATTATTAGTGGTGGCTCTGGAGAATTCCTGAGTAATGAATGTAGAAAAGTACACACGGAGAGGAAAATGGGAGCTGGTAGACTTTGCAGGCTTGCAGGGCTAATTTGGAGTCTGGTGGGCTGGTTATCCATAAAGAACTATGGCCTCACCCAATAGGGTGGCTGCTTACTACACAATGTGGGTGTGTCCCTTCCAAAGTATAGACCACCGCAACACCTGGCAGAGACTAAGGGGACTTTTCTGACAAGCTGCCCATTGACAGCCCGACTTGCCAAAATCTATAACTGACCCTTATCTTAACCTTAACCAAACCCCTAACCCTAAACTTAACCTAATTTTAACCAATTAGAAAATTAAATATCGGTTTGCACGTCAGCAACGTCCCCTTTTTTAGTTTTTCCCGCAACACCCAGTCATCCATCATCAAAGCTGTACACTTATGCAGGCTTTGCCACCTCTAAATGACCCCCCCCCCCCCAAACACACACACACACACACACACACACACACTTGATATTTAACCATTAGAGCAGGACAATGACAATCCCAGCATTGTTAGGGGGAATCCAGTTAGTCCGCTATACTGTCCCACTTTCCCATTGTGTCACCGTCCTGGAATGTATGGCTGGGGTTCATTTTACCCAATTTATTTTGACCACCGTCCCCTTGTTTTTGATAGTTAGGGTAATATCAGTTACGCTAATGCAAAATGCATCATTCAAGTTTCATTGCCTCTCAATGGAAGCTTGCAGCTGCAACTGATTTCCACTCAACTTTGTCTGCTCAATAGGATTGCTCTCATTAAACAAAGATAATCAAAATGTCATGCATGGCGCCTTATCCATTTTCCACACACTTGCCACAGGCTTCAGATCAAAGCATCCAGCATTTCACTCACAGAAGATCTTTGTTTTTCAATCAGAGTTTAGTCTAGGTGATCCTGCTGGAAATGCATTGTAATCAGTGGGACACTGCTAACTAAGTACAGCAAATTGACTAAATGCGACCAGGTCAATACAACAGTGCCAATACCACAGCAAAGTGAACAAATGCATCCACATGATAATGCTCCAAGTCGGACAAACAAATCTGATTGTTCCACCGATGCGACCTAGATTCAGACCTAGATCTGGGATGCAATGTGTCAGTGATTAGTAGTGCTGAGCGATTAACTGACATTTTAGTTTATTATTTGTTTTTTAAACAACTAATTGACCAACATCGGTTCAATTATTTGAATTTCATTTAGTTTTTTTGTGAACTCAATGCGCACGTTGCGCAATTTCTCTAGAGATAAATAATAATAATATGCCATTTAGCATACGCTTTTATCCAAAGCGACTTACAATCATGCGTGCATACATTTTAACGTATGGGTGGTCCCGGGGATCGAACCCACTACCCTGGCGTTACAAGCGCCGGGCTCTACCAATTGAGCTACAGAGGACCACGTTTGTTTTGGTTACGGTAATGTCTCTTAATGCATTCAATATATTATTATTCCAGTTTTTTACTGTTCTCATTGTTGGAGTGGACAGGTTGTGTGCCGAGCGCACAACCTAGGCTACACTTGTGAGAAACAAGTTTTGGTTTATTTCATTCCGTTTACGAGTTTTGTCAATTTAGCAATTGTCTTTTGTTTGGAGCGCTCCTGTCAATGTTGAGGAAGGACGTGCACCTGATTACGCATAGAAGACGGCCTAGGCTACCTGGCCTGTGCGCAAATGTTGGCAAATAAATGTGCCCATTTGGAGATCTGATAGTATTTCTGATTGGCTTAATGCACCACCACTAAAGATCTGTGGAGCTTCTCAAAGTAATGTTTCCTTCGCCTCAAACAGCAAGCAAACAAAGTCTGTTTTTACATCCGTTGAGAATGACAATAATTCCTGAATGTATTTGAAAAATCTTTCCAGCTCTCTCCCTTTCGATAACCACTCAGTGTGAAAGGGAATAATGTCATGCTCTGATCACGCCATAAAATAGGCCTACCTGACTACTACTTATCCCTTGTGCAAATAGCCTACAGCTGTGTATTTCCCGACACTGGCGTGGGAACTAATATTTTATACAATGTTGCAAGGAGCTTCAGGCTGGACCCAAGTTAATAGTTGATACAATGTTTCAAGTACGTTGCTGACAGGCCATGCATAGCCAATGTGATTTATAGGATATTTATCAGGATATTTTCTGCCTGCCCACTACAATGTTTTTATTTGTTGGCTTTATAGGCTATTTTTAAATAGTTGGCAATGGCAATATAAGTTACTTTTTAGGTTTATCATTTTCATTTAGATTTGGAAATAATCTTTATTAACCAAATGACAATGATTTTGAGATATGAAGACGTTATTATAAATGAAATGAAACTGTTCCACGAGAATGTGCATATGAAAACCATAACTGGCACGTAGAAATGGTACGATAAATTGGCATTCCGCATGAGAAAGTTTGCAGACTCCTCGTGTTCTTATGGTTATCCTGATTTCTGGCTCCCTCTTAAGCCATCATTTGTGTCTTATTTCATCAAACAGTGAGCTTAAAGCATTCAGACAAGCTCAATGCCTATATAGTTGATTTTATTAAAACACATAGGGTGTGTCTAATATATGGAAAAATACATGTTTTAAAATTTCTACCAATCGATTGGTCGAAATAACAGACGACTTTCGGTCGACCAAGATAATTTTTAGTCTGGGACAGCACTAATATCAACCCAGTGAGCAATGGAGAAACAGGAATATTCTGTAGATTGAAACTAATAGACTCTGAGATTCTATGTAGTTGGCCTGTGTCACATAAGATAGAAAAGCTTGAATGATAGATGATATGGGAATGGATGTGTTGTGTATGACCAAGAAGTTTCCTTGAAATGATGGACCTACATCTGTGATGCAATTGAATATCCAATGTGTTTGGACTGTGAATGTATGCCAATGTGGATGTGCTTGTTGTGTGTTCCAGCTATGCCCTGGCAGACGAGGCTTACCGTTCCCTGAGGGACCAGGATAAAGACCAGTGTATCCTCATCACAGGAGAGAGTGGAGCTGGAAAGACTGGTGAGACAAGTCCTCCATCAAACAAATGCAATAGGCCCACCATTTAATGGGGAGTTAACACTTAGATGAATGTCATCAAACACGCACTATAATGGGTTAACACACTTACGAGCAACACTATTGAGGGTTCTAAAATGTACCACACAAGCACAGGAGGTTGGTGGCACCTTAGTTGGGGAGAATGGGCTCGTGTTAATGAGCGGAATAGGTGGAATGGTATAAAATACATGAAACACATGGTTTCCAGGTGTTTGATGCCAATCCATTTGCTCCATTCCGGCCGTTATTTTGAGCCGTTCTCCCCTCAGCAGCCTCCTGTGCACACAAGGTGCGTGCTCAGTCCCCTCCTGTACTCCCTGTTCACCCATGACTGCATGGCTAGGCACGACTCCAACACCATAATTAAGTTTGCCGACGACACAACAGTGGTAGGCCTGATCACTGACAACGATGAGACAGCCTATAGGGAGGAGGTCAGAGACCTGGCCGTGTGGTGCCAGGATAGCTCAGCTGGTAGAGCACGGCGCTTGTAACGCCAGGGTAGTGGGTTCGATCCCCGGGACCACCCACACACAAAAATGTATGCACGCATGACTGTAAGTCGCTTTGGATAAAAGCGTCTGCTAAATGGCATATTATATTATTATTATATATTATAACAACCTCTCCCTCAACGTGATCAAGACAAAGGAGAGGATTGTGGACTACAGGGAAAAAAAGAGGACTGAGCACGCCCCCATTCTAATCGATGGGGCTGTAGTGGAACAGGTTGAGAGCTTCAAGTTCCTTGGTGTCCACATCACCAACAAACTATCATGGTCCAAACACACCAAAGCAGTCGTGAAGAGGGCAGGACAAAGCCTATTCCCCCACAGGAGACTGAAAAGATTTGGCATGGGTCCTCAGATCCTCAAAAAGTTCTACAGCTGCACCATTGAGAGCATCCTGACTGGTTGCATCACCGCCTGGTATGTCAACTGCTCGGCCTCCGACTGAAAGGCACTACACAGGGTAGTGCGTACGGCCCAGTACATCACTGGGGCCAAGCTTCCTGCCATCCAGGACCTCTATACCAGGCGGTGTCAGAGGAAGGCCCTAAAAATTGTCAAAGACTCCAGCCACCTTAGTCATAGACTGTTCTCTCTGCTACCGAATGGCAAGCGGTACCGGAGCGCCAAGTCTAGGTCCAAAAGGCTTCTTAACAGCTTCTACCCCCAAGCCAAAAGACTCCTGAACAGCTAATCATGGCTACCCGGACTATTTGCATTGCCCCCCCACCCCATCCAACCCCCTCTTTTACGCTGCTGCTACTCTGTTTATCATTTATGCATAGTCACTTTAACTCTACCCACATGTACATATTACCTCGACTAACCGGTGCCCCTGTAAATAGCCTCCCTACTGTTATTTTATTTTACTGCTGCTCTTTAATTATATGCTATTTTCAATTTTTTACTTATCAATTTTTTACTTAACACTTTATTTTTTAATTTTTTATTGTTGGTTAAGGGCTTGTAAGTAAGCATTTCACTGTAAGGTCTACACCTGTTGTATTCGGCGCATGTGGCAAATGAAATTTGATTCGATTTGAGGTAGCCTACAAACAATAGGCCCATTATATTTTGAGCTCACATTTGTGAGGAATCAACTGTATTAGTAAAATATTCTGGACAAAGCATAGTTCAATGTAAAAGTTATTTTGCCATTGCAGTACATCAATTCTATTGTTGTATTGTAACACTGTTACAAAATAGCATATCAATACATAGACGTTTACAACACGTGGCCCCGTGTAGCTCAGTTGGTAGAGCATTGCGCTTGCAACGCCAGGGTTGTGGGTTCGATTCCCATGGGGGGCCAGGGGGGCCAGTATGAAGATGTATGCACTCACTATCACTAACTGTAAGTCACTCTGGATAAGAGTCTCTGCTAAATGACTAAAATGTCAAATGTAAATCTTTCGAATGTACCACACAAGGGTTAAGTGATCTTGAGACTTCTAGATAAGTCCTGTAGGCCTGTGTTTTGTTTTCAGTGTTCTAGAACATTCTGTTCTGTCTGTAGAACTTGTAGCTGAGGGAAACTCAATGATGGGGGCATGCAGGCAGACAGCAGTAGCCACAAGAACAGTAGGATTTAGATTAGAGTTAGATAAACCTACGGCCTACCAGACCAGGGCTGGGACTGGGATTTGTTTTGGGAAAGCATAAGTCAGGTTTGTACCTGAAATGGCAGATGCAACGTAAATGTGACCGACTCAAACTTATGTAGCAACATTTGAAATTGTTTTTTACATTGGATGAAAGTAGAGACTCAGAGCTAGAAAATGGTATATCATATTTTTTATCATATCATTTGAAGAAAAATGGGAAAGTAATTCTGCTTTGAAAGTTGGTAAACTTGTAACCCCACTTTTGAGAAATGGCCCTTGAATGTTTTGGTACACCTACTGGAGAGCTCTTCTTTGTCTACACCCATTCAGCATAGTTCACACCCTCTTAAGCCTTATCCCCATCTCTTTAAGGATTCACATGTGAGGCCATTTTCTAAACAGAGTGATTTAGTTTAGTAAACAACCAAAGATTTCAAGACTAAAAGTTGTGAAAGTAGTAGCCTAAAATAAGGAAAAACTCCAGGCAAAAATACACTTTATATAGTCCTTGGCCTATATCCTAATCTGACTTTGGTGCAGGTCATGTTGTTTTTCACATTACCTTCTCTGGTAAAGGCACACTATATCAAATAAAATAAAAAGTTTTGATACAGAAGGTGCATATATCAAAACAGAAAGTGTCCAGATAAAGATATTTAATAATTATTAGTTATTGGCTAACTTGATGGGTCATGTATGTTTTGTTTAGACATGCAGTCTTTGTCATTCGTTTAGACATGTAGATAGCTAGCTAGCTAGCTAAATAATGAACCGGCATAATCCCAACTCATACTACTACCGACCAATACAAACATTGTCGTAGCTTCAGGTTCAATGTTAGCTAGCTAATATTAGACTATAACGAAGAATGCAAATGATTTTCTGATTCAAATAATATTACTACACAGATCATACACATAACATTAGCTAGCGAGCCAGCAAGCTAACGTTTGCTAGCTAGCTAACAGTACGCTTGAACTTGCAATGAAAACGACTTTCTGACAAAATTAGAAACTTAGAATATCTGAAAATGTAGCTAGACTCTTTCACGTATACATGGATGAACGCTTCACGGCAGACTGGAACCATTTAACTCCGTTTTGTTTGGCCAGTGTTGTGTCAAGTCACTCCGGTTAAACACTGACCGTGGTGTGTGCAGAAAGTAGCAAATCCTTTTTTTTCCAACTGATCTGTCGATAGCGCCTGCTAAATTCAGGGCATCAATGTTGTTGAGAAAAGTAGCAAAACTTTTGTAGTTCTCGATGGCTAACTTTATATATTTTTTTTAATGGCGCGGTAGAAGGTACTATCAACACATACTGAGCAGCTCACGTTATAAACAGAAGCGTGCTAAATGGCAGACCAATCCATACTCATCTCCCAGCATGTCCAGCCCAACCATTATCTCAGCCAATCATGGCTAGCGGGAAGGTTCCTGTCTTTTTCCGTGGCTAAACCAACTAGGCTCGTAATTTAACAATTTTATTTGTATTTACGGATGGAATACAAGTTGGTTATTAAGGCACATGTTCACATGTTCCAGAAGCCATTTCTGCCCAAAAAAATGCCTCTCCTGTGAAGTAGTGACGTGCGACATATGCCTAGTTTCCTGAAACGAGTCACAAATGTACATGCAGGCATAGCAAAACAATGCAGTGTAAAGACAAAGGGACTGACTTATGGAAACAAACTCTGACAATAAAATTAAAGTCAGACAAAACCATATAAACAGTGACAACTCTTTAAATACACCTCCATTATTTATGTTTTGTCATGGTGTGCTGTCAACTTGTATAAAAATCTATGTTTTAATCTTGGAATGTGTTCTATAGGTAAAGATTAACTGTAAGAAATCACACATGCTACACAGAATCATGGAAGAATGGTATTTGCTGGCTAGTTATATACTTTGGCACATGTGATTCCCAGGTGCTGGCCATATTGAATTGGCAGGGAAGTCTCCATGCTCCCTATACAGTGAGGGGAAAAAAGTATTTGATCCCCTGCTGATTTTGTACGTTTGCCCACTGACAAAGACATGATCAGTCTATAATTGTAATTGTAGGTTTATGTGAACAGTGAGAGACAGAAAAAAATCCAGAAAAATGCATGTCAAAAATGTTATAAATTGATTTGCATTTTAATGAGGGAAATAAGTATTTGACCCCTCTGCAAAACAGTACTTGGTGGCAAAACCCTTGTTGGCAATCACAGAGGTCAGACGTTTCTTGTAGTTGGCCACCAGGTTTGCACACATCTCAGGAGGGATTTTGTCCCACTCCGCTTTGCATATCTTCTCCAAGTCATTAAGGTTTCGAGGCTGACGTTTGGCAGCCTCGAAACTCCCTCCACAGATTTTCTATGGGATTAAGGTCTGGAGACTGGCTAGGCCACTCCAGGACCTTAATGTGCTTCTTCTTGAGCCACTCCTTTGTTGCCTTGGCCGTGTGTTTTGGGTCATTGTCATGCTGGAATAACCATCCACGACCCATTTTCAATGCCCTGGCTGAGGGAAGGAGGTTCTCACCCAAGATTTGACGGTACATGGCCCCGTCCATTGTCCCTTTGATGCAGTGAAGTTGTCCTGTCCCCTTAGCAGAAAAACACCCCCAAAGCATAATGTTTCCACCTCCATGTTTGATGGTGGGGATGGTGTTCTTAGGGTCATAGGCAGCATTCCTCCTCCTCCAAACACGGCGAGTTGAGTTGATGCCAAAGAGCTCCATTTTGGTCTCATCTGACCACAACACTTTCACCCAGTTCTCCTCTGAATCATTCAGATGTTCATTGGCAAACTTCAGACGGCCCTGTATATGTGCTTTCTTGAGCAGGGGGACCTTGCGGGCGCTGCAGGATTTCAGTCCTTCACGGCGTAGTGTGTTACCAATTGTTTTCTTGGTGACTATGGTCCCAGCTGCCTTGAGATCATTGACAATATCCTCCCATGTAGTTCTGGGCTGATTCCTCACCGTTCTCATGATCATTTCAACTCCACGAGGTGAGATCTTGCATGGAGCCCCAGGCCGAGGGAGATTGACAGTTATTTTGTGTTTCTTCCATTTGCGAATAATCGCACCAACTGTTGTCACCTTCTCACCAAGCTGCTTGGCGATGGTCTTGTTAGCCCATTCCAGCCTTGTGTAGGTCTACAATCTTGTCCCTGACATCCTTGGAGAGCTCTTTGGTCTTGGCCATGGTGGAGAGTTTGGAATCGGATTGATTGATTGCTTCTGTGGACAGGTGTCTTTTATACAGGTAACAAGGTGAGATTAGGAGCACTCCCTTTAAGAGTGTGCACCTAATCTCAGCTCGTTACCTGTTTAAAAGACACCTGGGAGCCAGAAATCTTTCTGATTGATAGGGGGTCAAAAACGTATTTCCCTCATTTAAAATGCAAATCAATTTATAACATTATTGACATGCGTTTTTCTGGATTTTGTTGTTTGTATTCTGTCTCTTACTGTTCAAATAAACCTACCATTAAAATTATAGACTGATAATTTCTTTGTCAGTGGGCAAACGTACAAAATCAACAGGGGATCAAATACTTTTTTCCCTCACTGTATATGACGATATCACCATCACACCCTCTGACATCAGTTAAAATGAAAGCTTCTCTTCATTTTCTTTGGTAGTTTTGTGTTACATCACTTACCAAAGCTATCAGAAGCCAACTTCACATAACATTGTGGTCTACTGTTCCTCTTTTTATCAGTTTCATTCTTCTCTGCCTCTAACCAAACTGTTTCTAATTTCTGGTATAATAACACAAGACTGTCGGAGGGACTTTCATTCGATAGTACAGTGCTCTGGGTGACGTGGCTTTGAAAATCTGACATGATAAAACCAGGACTTATGTTTATAAAAAAAAGTTTCATACCAATTATCTTTTAGCTGTTAGAAGCCCCATTTGTGCTATCCGTTTGTGTTGGAATTAATAGAATAATATAATTCTCAGTGGTTCTAACTGTTCTATTATTACAATTCTTCTGCTGGCGTGGCACTTCTCATCTGGAGTCCTGGAGGCTAGAGTCAAACTGCAGTACACGTGCCTGCCAGGTGAAGAGTGGGCTACTGGGTGATTTACGCACATGTTGTCAATCCATTTGACTCTCCATTTGGTTCCCATTAAACTCTCTACAAGTGGCCTTCATCTCACTAAAGGAGAGACAGAAATACATTGATGTTTATACCAGCAGATATCCCACAGCCCTGAAACCGTTCTGTGGTTAACTGGTGCTTTGATTACAAGGCCTTGGATTATCTGTCACTGCAAGGCCAATGTTAACATCCTAATTACTTTGATACAGAACATTAATGTTAGTCAAGTGGTGTGACATTGTTCAACATCATTAATTGGTCACCTTAGCAATGACACAGAGGTCACAGAGTTCACTATTGTTTTTATATAACTCCTTTTCTCCCTCAAATGCAAAACAAACTATTTTTAGTCTAATGAAGTCAAGTGCAGCCACGTAGCTTTCTACAATCTGCTGACAACAGTGTACAGTACATTACAACCACACCATTTGTTTTTGTGTCTTTCTTCCTACTTTTGTCAGTGTGGGCGGGGGCAGAGGGTTTCTACAGTAAATACTGGCATTTCTGTGTGCCAACTGCTGATGTGTTTCAAGTCCCAATCCAGGAAATGAATCAGCAAATCCAGGGCAATGAGATGAGTTAGGATTTTGGGTAATCCCTCATAATTTTTTGTAGGTTTACAGGGGGTAGATGAGGCTGATGAAAATGGGTCTGGGTTTGTCGGTTTGGGGTGACTGGGGTCACACAGTGTTACCCTAAATACATTAGTCCAATTCATTATGGAGTCATCTTGTGAAGACATGGTAATCTTTTACTTGCTAAGGTGTTTTTCAGAGGAGGACTAATTTATTTATCTTACTGCCTTGAGTGCAGTGCCTGACAGGAGTGTTTCAGTGCATTTGTTTCTGACCATACTGAGCGTCATCAATTTAATACTTCTGCAAATCTAAACTTGCATACCTGACCTCAAACATACATTTCTGCAGATTTGAATGGTTGAAGAGTCCCACTAACAAGTAGTTCCTTAGAAGTCCAATATGGATGGTATTAAGAGATACAGTTGAAGTCGGAAGTTTACATACACTAAGTTGACTGTGCCTTTAAACAGCTTGGAAAATTCCAGAAAATGATATCATGGCTTTAGAAGCTTCTGATAGGCTAATTGACATCATTTGAGTCAATTGGAGGTGTACCTGTGGATGTATTTCAAGGCCTACCTTCAAACAAAGTGCCTCTTTGCTTGACATCATGGGAAAATCAAAAGAAATCAGCCAAGACCTCAGAATATTGCAAATCAATCCCAGAACAACAGCAAAGGACCTTGTGAAGATGCTGGAGGAAAAAGGTACAAAAGTATCTATATCCACAGTAAAACGAGTCCTATATCGACATAACCTGAAAGGTCGCTCAGCAAGGAAGAAGCCACTGCTCCAAAACTGCAACTGCACATGGGGACAAAGATCGTACTTTTTGGAGAAATGTCCTCTGGTCTGATGAAACAAAAATAGAACTGTTTGGCCATAATGACCATTATGTTTGGAGGAAAAAGGGGGTGGCTTGCAAGCCGAAGAACACCATCCCAACCGTAAAGCACGGGGGTGGCAGCATCATGCTGTGGGGGTGCTTTGCTGCAGGAGGGACTGGTGCACTTCACAAAATAGATGGCATCATGAGGAAGGAAAATTATGTGGATATATTGAAGCAACATCTCAAGACTTCAGTCAGGAAGATCTGATATGTGTGAGATAGTAAATAAATGGATGATTGATTAAAAAGTAGTCACTGATTGTGTCAGACAATACCTTTATGATCTAGGGAGTGCCTCAGCATGTTTAGTTATGATGGTTATAAATAGTTACAAATCAGAAACAATCTCCTTTTGATCTTACTTTATACCTTTTTGATATTGCACAACATGATATAGAGGACTGTTGGCTTACTCACTGTAAGGTTTGTTACTGATACTATACTCTGTCAGGGGTATTCAACTCTTAACCTACAAGGTCCGGAGCCTGCTGGTTTTCTGTTCTACCTGACAATTAATTGCACACACCTGATAAATCAGTCCCTGATTAGAGGGGAACAATGAAGAAAAGCAGTGGAACTGGCTTCGAGGTCCAGATTTGAGTTTGAGGGCTCTATGTTGTGCAATTATTGTATGTCATTTCTAGGATCCCTCAACTCTTGTGCTGATTTCCTGCTTTCCCCCTACCCGCTCTCTCCTAACAATCTATATCTAGGGGTCAAAGGCCCTCTTAAGATTTCCTCTCTGCTTTTGTTTCTCTATTTTTGGTTTCTGGGTCACAGTCAGCTCCAGACCGTTAGTCATCTCATCGACTAGGGCTAGGGATGTTCTGGAGTCTGGACAGAACATTACACTAATACTACAAACCATGTAACGTTTAGCATAATGATTTCTGTGCTGAGAAGAGGATGATTCGGGAGCATTTCATATTCATATCAATGCACATAAACTCATAAAGGCGCACAGATTCTAACCCCAGCTTTTAAAAGGCTGGATCTGGGTACATGTTCTCAACAAGTTCTCATATATAATGTGTCTCTAGGTGTCCAGTGTCTAGTGAGGTCAGGACTATTATTGATTATGATTACTGTAATAATCAATCTAATAATGAACACCATCCAAGTAAACAAGATGGTTGGTGGTTATGGAGTGTGTGAACAGTGGAGAGGGACCCCAGAGAGGGTACACACCCTGTTTCTGTAGAGGCCGCTGGGGGGTGATGTAAGGGGGATTCTGGGGTGAGGCTAGGGTTGGCGTAATGGAGGACTTTGGGGTTTGGGAGTGTGGTGTGTGGAGGGGCTCTTGCCTCAGCCCTGTCTAGATCTAGATGAGAATGACCTTTAACCCTGTCTTTCTCTCTGTCTGTTCCTGTTCCAGAGGCCAGTAAGCTGGTGATGTCATATGTGGCGGCGGTGTGTGGGAAGGGCCAGGAGGTGAACAAGGTGAAGGAGCAGCTGCTGCAGTCCAATCCCGTGTTGGAGGGTGAGTGTTCTAACCCCACCCACCTTTCGCTCTTTCCCATGCAAGTTCAGAATAGGAGGGGCTTATATATGCGAGTGGAAGTGGCTCCCATGCTTCAGGTTCAGAGTGGGATGGGGCTCAACTAGAATGGCCGAGGCATCAGGGACACACCCACTTTAACACACAGATAGTTTTGCTTTTTTTCTCGTACCGGTCTCTTTCTCACACACGTCATTTTTTATTTTTTTATTTAACCTTTATTTAACTAGGCAAGTCAGTTAAGAACAAATTCTTATTTACAATGACGGCCTACACCAACCAAACCCGGACGATGCTGGGCCAATTGTGCGCAGCCCTATGGGACTCCCAAACACGGCCGGTTGTGATACAGCCTGGAATCGAACCAGGGTGTCTGTAGTGACGCCTCAAACACTGAGATGCAGTGCCTTAGACCGCTGCACCACTCAGGAGCCAAAGACAGCAGTGTTTTAATTGGAGATCTGTAGTCAGGAAATGCTCATGAATGATGAAGCCAGCCTATCGGTGCCTAGTACTTAGCTGCTGTACTATAGAGCCAGGCCCAGAACACACTCAGTAAGAGTATAGCAGCTACAGGCTGTAATGACCCCTAGGTACACAGAGAGCGAGAGAGAGAGTGGGTGGGAGAGAGAGCGGGAGAGATTGGGAGGGAGGGAGGGAGGGAGGGCGGGTGGGAGAGGGAGCACGAGAGGGAGGGAGGGAGGGCGGGTGGGAGAGGGAGCATGAGAGGGAGCGATGGGAAGAGAAATCCTGCTCCACAAGGCTCTTGTCTTTTAGGCTCAGGCTCCCAATGTACCTGTTTTTGAAAACACCACAGACATAGACTTGCTGTAGTTAGCAATGATTAACTTAATCAACACTCCTTAATTAGGTGGCCGATTTAAGTACTTTACAACCCCACAGTGCTGTGTTGAACGACAAATGAATGCTGTTTAGTGTAAAATGTGAGTTTTGGAGGTAGGAAGAGAACACTAATAATATAGTTTTAATGTAGTTGGTGCTCCCACAAATTTCAGCCTGCTTAAAGGAGTGTACTTAATGTGCAATTTTGTACTTTCTTTGTTCAGGGTCTTTTCTTGTATGGTCATTGTGTTAAGAAATGTGTGTTGAACTATGAAATACTGCAAACTTATAATTGATGGTCTCTGGTCATTTTCATCATTTTGTACTATGTGTAGTGCACAGTTCACACACAACCACTGACTTAAATGTAGCGAGACTGCTATGTTGAGCCTTATGCTTTGAAAGCCTCCGAGCTTTGTTTTAATCCAGACCCTCAATAACATAATGGGACTGATTAGACATCAGACCAAAAGGCTTTGTGACCATCTAGGTGTTGCATGATTGACAGATAAGTGAGGACTAGGTAGAATATGATCAGCTTTTACAGGTTCGACAGACACTGTTAAGTAGATTTGATGAACTGAGCACCAACTAAGCCATCAGTATGTATGTGTTAGTTAGTGCCTATGATTTAGCAGAGAAAGTGATGCTTGCTTGATGATAACCTTTCACTTACTTGAAGTAATACAGACTTATGGTCTATCAAAATGTAAAATATACTGAGTTTGGTTGCCCTGTCTACCTGACTGATACTCATGTTGAAATGTTTCTTTTCAGCTTTTGGGAATGCTAAAACTGTGAGAAATGACAACTCATCCCGATTTGTAAGTATCATCTTTTCTTTGTTGCCCTAACACTAACACTGAAGTCTGTGGGTGCTTTGATGGTCTGATCCTCCAATAAGAATCAGTGTTTGGTGATCTCCTCCACTGAAGCTGTGTTTACTTTAGATTAAACACAGGTGGACCTTTGATCTTGACATCACCACAGGCAAACAAACCCTCACCCCTTCTCTCTTTTATCTCTTTTTCTCTCCCATTTCTCTCATATCACTCTTTCTCCCCTAGTTCCTCCCTCATGTTCTCCCTATGTATAGCTTGCAATTGGCTCTCTCTGCAGACCCTGACTTAAGACCAAGCCGTTACAGTTACAGCATAGAGGCAGCCCAGGATAGAAGTGAAACCCAAGTCATCATAACGTTTTTTGGCAACTATCACCAAATGTCTGCCGATGGCCCCTGCCAAGATCGCTTTAGTGTTTGGGAAACTGCTCTTTTCTCCAGAAACCACTACCTCTGGTGTCATGTAATGTTTTCCTACAGTGACATGGCTCTTAAAGCACTAAATATATCAACTTATTCCACTCCCACATGGCACAGGCGCCAGTACGGTGCTGCTTTGTACAGTTAAAGATTACATCACATCATGCAAAACAGCTTGTGTCTCAGGCCTCGCTCGGCTGGTGTGGAGACGGTATCGACGATACGATCGTCAGCCAATGGGATGGTTAGGTTTACGGTAACTGTGTTACTGTGACCTCTGACCTTTTGACTATTGGCCAACTGCCCCTGCGGAACTAACATACTTGGAGACCTACACTACCTCTCCTCCAATATGACTTATGCACAGTGAGCATTCTGGTGCAAACATGGCTCCTGCAGCATATTGGAGCTTTAGGAAACTGACTGACGCTTTGACAAATGGAGATAACATCAGCAGAGTGGTGATGCAACCACTATCTTACTCTGTTTAGGTTTTTTGTCTGGCAGACTAATCTAGGAAATCGTTTCATTTCCAGATGCTGGAGATATTAAATGAGACGTCCCGTTTTGGACCGCAGTACGTTTTTGCAGTCTTTTTATTTCTCACGCTTCCTCGCTGGCTGGCTGGCTGTGTTTTCCAGAGGGGCCCATTGGCAGCCAGCAGCTGCCTGTTTTAGATTGTAGATTCCACTGTTTCCGATGTCACCACATTACTGCAGGCTTCCCCAATCAGACTGGAAACACACTGACTGACTGAATCATATCCCACCCTGCCTCGGGCTAACCAGTCTTCACTTAATGCCTGTTTATTTATCTAACCTTTATTTAACCAGGCAGGTCAGTTAAGAACACATTCTTATTCACAATGATGACCTAATGTCTAGGGCACTGGTCAGGTCACGTTGTCAGGACAAAACCAAAACTCACAGGCCCTTGTCATGTACCATTGTTATTTTAACTAATATCCCACGATATTAGTTAGTTAGTTTAGTCTGGTGTTCAAGTGCTCCGTGTACCATACTATTCAACCTCTGTGGCTTTCATAAAGTTGTGCAACTCACTCACCCACCAAAGTTAGTGTAGCTACCTACCTGTCCCTAGCCTGTGCTCAGGTTTAGGATATCATAGCAGGGGAATTATTTAGGATTATGCCTGATCTGTTTATATTTAGGTAACCTTGGTATAAACCACTGAATGAGCACCTCCTGCTTGTTCCACTGAATGCCATTTAGTTCTAACTCATCTCCTCAGGACGAGGACAGATTGTTTGATCTGTTTCTTCCCCCTGCAGAGAGACTGGGGATGTTGTTGAATCTGGCAGCGGCCATTGCCAGTTTAAGCTACGGCTTAAAAACAAAGCTGTCAGTTATAAATAAAAGGAAGACATATCAAATGGCTGCGAAGACACTGGGCCCAGTGTTCTTCTAACCCACATTTTAAACAGAACAGAGAGGGTGAGCGAAGCAAGCTGGTTTGTTTTACTCTCCTTTCAAATGGGAGAAGAAAAAAGTAATTTCCTTCACTTCACAGTAGTCAGTTTCTTCACAGCAAACCTATGTGTGATTGGCAGCTGACTTTATGAACACGTCCAGTGCCTGGAGACAAAATTACTTCTTCAAAATGAGTTTGGAGAGAAACCCTTTTCTCCTTTCGATTCCCTCTCGTAACGTAAAGCTCATATTTCAGTGAGGTTTGCTGTGATCCCTGCCTGTGCTTGTGCACGCTTCCTATTGCATTTTTAAAGCTACTGCCTGGGATCTGGGAATGTGTTCAATGGCCATTTCAATTATTAATATTTACCCATTGATTCCTAAACAATATAACTTAAATGCATCCAGGGCTTGTGCTGAGTTTGCTACAAAGCAACCTAACTTTGCCACCTTATTATAAGCCCTGGGCCCGACTCATCCTATTCCTCCTGTTTTATCTGTTTATCTCTTGTTTTGGCTGCCTGGAAAACCGCTTCATTGCTAAAAGAAAACAACATAGATTTGCCTCTGAGACAAGCTAGTTGTTGTTTTATTTACCCAATAACATGCTGATATGTTAGTGTGGTGTCAGGGAGTTCTAATCACTGTGTTCTCTCTTCTCTACAGGGGAAATACATGGACATTGAGTTTGACTTCAAAGGAGACCCTCTGGGTGGAGTTATTAGCAACTGTGAGTATTATAAGGAAGACGCGCACACACACACACTTCATGCTTAAATAACCACATGCTAAGCTCTCCTACACCCATCTAGCCCTCTCACATGTCACTGCGGTGAGCATGGTAGCGATAGTGTAGCCCTCCCACTGTTATAGCCCACTGACACAGTTAGCTCAATTAAACCCCCCAGTCAGTCAGTCATCCTACCATGGTAATGGTTTGTCACACACACTGGGCGAGGGACAGGATCTGGATGAGGGAGAGGACCAGGGACAGTGAGAGGGCCAGGGACAGGGTGAGGGCCATGAAGAAGGGGCGAGAGGGCCAGGGACAGAGAGGGTGGGAGGGAGGGAGAGGGAGTCGAGCACTTCAACACATGCTGTCCCTGCACGCCCGGTCGGTCGGCTCACCAAAGAGAGAGGGAGATCAATATTACACTGTTTGTTTTCAGTCAATGGAGGGTCAGTGACACACGGGAACTAGATGGGGAAAAAACAAACTAAAACAACCTGAACAGTTGCCAAACAGTGACTACTTTCTGACTGCAGTACCTCGTATTGTGCCTCGTATCAACCGCTTTGTTATTGTTTTGTCCTGTCTCATGTTCATATTGTTTTGTCTAGTCTGAAGAGATTCAGCCATGAGGTCACGGGAAACAAAGATCGGGTTGATCTCTGTCACAGATAGTCGTCTGTCCTTTCTGTCTGTTGGGAGAGGAGAGCTCATGGAGACTGCCCAGTACCTTCATAGGTTTATGATGGAGAGAGGGAGACTGAGGGCCATGTGACTCTATGGAGCAATGGTATATAACAGAAAGAGGGGGATGGATGGAAGTTAGTGATGTGCTGGTTGACTCATAACCGGACGTTTTTAGAGTCATATAAATATTGTGTGGCTGAAGGGCGGGTTGAATAAAGATAAACAATACCTTAAAAACTCCATAAATGTATAATTATTGTGCAATTTAAATAGGCTACAATTAGGTTTTTCTTTCATTATTTTAGACTATCTGGTTTTACTGCATAAGCTTAAACTTTAGTTTAACTACACAGCCAATCGCCAGATAATGCTTTTGGGAACGGGCAGAAAAAGTTAACGTCAATCCACAGAGGCAAAAAGGACATTACCGAAGTTTAATTCAATAAGACAATAGCTGCGAAAGGAGAGTTGAAAATAAAGAGAAGGGAGGGCCAGAAAAGTAATGTTTGGAAAATATTTGGTGAAGTGGTAAAAGAGGATGATAGCTGTGCCGGCTATGTTATGTGTGATGATTGTGAGGCTCTATTCAAATTCAACAGTCACAAGACGGGACTTCAAATAGGCCTATGGCATGTCAAGGGAACTGTAGCCTACTGTTTAGATGGGTTAAATGGAAAATGAAATCTGGACATTGACTAACCAGAATAACCTACTGTTTTTTGGCAAACTCCAATGTCCTCTGATAATACTAGTCCCGTGCGAATCGACATCCCTGTGTTTTGAGAGAAATGTCTGAGTTTGACAGGTTGCTCATCCACCTCTGGCCTGCTGGTCCCCCTACTTCTGCGGAAGCACAGTTCCCGCTCAGCCCAATCAAAACTGTTCGCTGCTCTGGCACCCCAATGGTGGAACAAGCTCCCTCACGACGCCAGGACAGCGGAGTCACTCACCACCTTCCGGAGACACTTGAAACCCCACCTCTTTAAGGAATACCTGGGATAGGATAAAGTAATCCTTCTACCCCCCCTTACCCCACCACAAAGAAAGGAGAAAAATATATATATATATATATATATATATATTGTAAAGTGGTTATCCAAAGTGGCTATAAGGTGAATGCACCAATTTGTAAGACGCTCTGGATAAGAGCGTCTGCTAAATGACGTAAATGTAAAAAATGTAAATGTTTGAACAAGAAAACAATAACTGATTCGATAAATTGAACGAAGTGCTGCGCATAGCCTATATATGAAGGGCCTACATGTATCGACTTTCACAGTGAATGCTTTTGTTTATACGTTTTGTGCGAATTAATTGAATATCGCCAAATGCATCATACAAAATATTGCGCATATTTAATGCAACCATTGCTGTTAATAGAGCACAAAGGAGTATACAACTGAGCTAAACATTTGGAACATCCATAGCCTAAAAATGCATATCAAGTGCAAGTTAACAGTTTAGCTCACATCTGAAGGCTGGGGGGCTAGGATGTCTTCTACTGCGGATCGCTAAAATATCCGAATGATTATGATCACACTTCCTCAATTCAAATATTATGGCGACAATATACCAAAGATGGTTTGGTATGGTTTAGAAACTTGGGAATCAAGCTCGAGTTATCAGTTTAGCCTGTTATCACCTGGACTTGTTGAAATATCTTCATGCCTAGAAAAAGAACTCCAGGCTTCTGTCATAACTGTCAATTTATAGAAAAAATAAGAAATAATTACGAATCGTCCTCTGGAATAACGGATATTCTGTGGTAATAAATACATAACCAGCGTGCTCTAGTAATACTAGTCCTGTGCGAATAGTGCTATATCCTTAATAATAACTCCTGCAGCATTTCTTGCAGTAAAATTATACACCAAATATTGGCAAAATATGGACTTGGGAACAGGAGTGAAGAAATATTATTTATTTGTTTCTGCATCTTGAGAGAATACAATGCTCAGTTAGAATACCATCTTTAGAGGTGCTGTCTTCATCATAAAAGCTGATTATGTATTTCAACCACATAAAATATGCATCGAAGCCGAACTGAAATCTTATCAGAAACACGTTGGGTCATTTTCACAGCTTTCTTTTTCCTTACAACCGGTCAAACTGATGTCATTTGGACATTTTGCACAGAACATCTTTCCAGTTTTTTGTTGTTGTTGTTGCTTTATTGTATTTTCTCCCCATTCCCTAAACGTCTTTGCTCCGCGAAAGATGACAGAGAACTTTATTGATGTCAACTAGATAGAAGCATTCATTCTATCGATCTATTACATTATTCTGTTGAGCAAGGGTTTATTTAGTCTCCTAGGGCAACATATAATGACAAAAGAGAAGCTACATGTATCTAACTATAGACAAGTTGACTAACAAATAGCCTACCAAAATGTCGGAAATTATAAGCAGAAGCATACACTACATGGCCAAAAGTATGTGGACACCTGCTCGTCAAACATCTCATTCCAAAATCATGGGCATTAATATGGAGTTGGTCCCCCCTTTGCTGCAATAACAGCCTCCACTCTTCTGGGAAGGCTTTCCACTAGATGTTAGAACATTGCTGCGGGGACTTGCTTCCATTCAGCCACAAGAACATTAGTGAGGTCGGCACTGATGTTGGCCTGGCATAGGCCTGGCTCGCAGTCGGCGTTCCAATTCATCCCAAAGGTGTTTGATGGGGTTGAGGTCAGGGTTCTGTGCAGGCCAGTCAAGTTCTCCCACACTGATCTCGACAAACCATTTATGTATGGACCTCACTTTGTGCACGGGGGCATTGTCATGCTGAAACAGGAAAGGGCCTTCCCCAAACTGTTGCCACAAAGTTGGCAGCACAGAATTGTCTAGAATGTCCTTGTATGCTGTAGCGTTAAGATTTCCCTTCACTGGAGCTAAGGGGCCTAGCCCGAACCATGAAAAACAGCCTCAGACCATTATTCCTCCTCCACCAAACTTTACAGTTGGCACTATGGATTGGGGCAGGTAGCGTTCTCCTGGCATCCGCCAAAACCAGATTAGTCCGTCGGACTGCCAGATGGGGAAGCGTGATTCATCACTCCAGAGAACGCGTTTCCACTGCTCCAGAATCCAATGGATGCAGGCTTTACACCACTCCAGCTGACGCTTGGCATTGCGCATGGTGATCTTAGGCTTGTGTGCGGCTGCTCGGCCATGGAAACCAATTTCATGAAGCTCACGACGAACAGTTATTGTGCTGACGTTGCTTCCAGAGGCAGTTTGGAACTCGGTAGTGAGTGTTGCAACTGAGGACAGACGATTTTTACGGCCTACGCGCTTCAGCACTCGGCGGTCCCGTTCTGTGAGCTTGTGTGGCCTACCACTTCGCCACTCTGTCTATGGAGATTGCATGGCTGTGTGCTTGATTTTATAAACCTGTCAGCAACGGGTGTGGCTGAAATAGCCGAATTCACTAATTTGAAGGGGTGTCCACATACTTTTGGTGATGTAGTGTATCTAAATCAGGCAACCAAAAGAAATTGCGGGTTTGGTGCGGGGCTCAAATTTTCACTATCACATATAGTCGGGCGGTTGCGGATTAGTTATTAGCAATTGCGAGCAGGTGCGGGTGAACAAACAGCTGACCTGCGCACCACTAATGGAAGATGAGAGGCCTCTCTCATGCCTGAGGGCTTCCCTCAGAAGTCACTAGCTATAAATTCCCCTGTTTCTTTATGTCGCTGCTGCAGCACAGTCAGCAGACACCTCATTATGGCCCCCTCTCCATGCCCAGATGTCTTCTTTAACTGGGGATAAAGAGCAGGAACACCTCTAGGGCAGTGGTTCTCAAACCTGTCCTCGGCACCCCCAGATGTTTCACAAATTTGTTGTAGCCCTCAACTAGCTCACCTGATTCACTTAGTCAAGGGCTTATAATAATAATAATAATAATAATAATAATAATAATAATAATAATGTCAAGTTGTCAATTTGAATCAGAATGTGCTAGCTCTGGAATATATCAAATACATGGAATGGTTGTGGGTTCCCAGGAGAGGTTTGAGAACCACTGCTCTAGGGCATGGTCACAGTACAGTGGAGCAGCTAGGGTTAGGCCACAGTCGAGGAGGGTTTAGGACACTACAGCTCATGCTCGCTAGTTTTGTATGGGAGAATGTGTCAAACTGTATGTGTTGAATTTTGTCTGCTTTGATAATCTGTTTAAAAATATTTTTTATGTGATTGTGCCTTGTTCATTTCCCATTTTGTATAACAAAGTAAAGTCGACTTAGATAATGGTAACTTGCGAGGAAGAGGATATCAATAACCAAGCGGACAATCCTTTGGTGCTTGTTAAATCCTAGTCTAAACAACAAGACAGGATATGGACTTCCATTCTTACTTTGCAGTATATAGCGTGTCTGGCATTTCTCCTTTAATGTATGTTTGTTCATCTAGGAACCATATCCTGGATGCAGCCTGCCTGCTGCAAATAACTAAATAGCATTCAACATTTTACAAATGCTTTACAGCAGGCATGAAAAACAGCGCAGCAGCCTTAGTAGTAAAAAGCAATAACAGGGCTGAACTCTTCTAGTATACAAAAGGTGAAAGGTCATGACAGAGAGAAGAGCCCCCTATGGGGGAGACTGAATGTTCAGAACATTCTTGAGCCACATTTCCTGTTCCTGCATCTTATTTTCTGCTGTTGGAACTCACTGTTGTGAGTTTTGTCTGGTCAAGAGGTATTTTATGTACTCTGTATTAGAAAAGGAGAGATGGGGGATAGAATCCATGCTGTCAGGCTCCATTTTGATTACATTTCAGAGGCAGTGCATTGCTCAGATCTGCTCGTCTGTCGCGCTCTAAAGAGATGCTACGTTATTGATGAGCTGATAGACACGTGTTTAAAATCTCAGAGAATCACTTAGTGACGAACACACACACACACAGTGATTACCATGTGGTGGTGAAGCATGGCTGGCACAGATTCGTAACCACCACCTACCTGCTAGCTGTTGACACCTGTGGCTCTCTCCACACACACACACACACACACACACCGTCTATTGACCTCCCGTTTCTCTGTAGTGGGCCAGTGGCATTAAGTGCTGTGCCAGAGAAAGTATAAATGCATTATGAAGTGGTCCCTGACTCTCTAAGCGTTTAATGCCCCCACTGAGAGGATGACTCAGGACTTAGGGCTCGTAGCTGACCGGTAGCTAGCAGTTCCCACTCAGGTCCGTGGGCTGAATATAACTTTAATTCGGCTTGTCAAGCAAACCGTGCTTCTGTATGCCTGGCCAATGCCAAACTCAAAAGCTAAATTATCTTACTTTCCTGATCAACTTATAGTAAATAGAGCTATGTGAACCACATTAACTGTTGAAATGTAAAAGTATGTATCACAAGAGTACATCCTTTTCAATCTAGGTGTTGTAGTTGGTAAGTAGCTAAGGAGAAGGAGCTGACTTGACATTTGATCCCTTCATATGGTTTCCTCCTTTGAGTCTTCCTGTGCCGGCCGGCTCAGAGACTCCACTTCTACACAATGAACAATGAGACGCCAACATAACCGTGACTCTGTCACCTTGGAAACACTAATATTTGGCTATAACAGGGAGATGCATCCATCAGAGCTCTACAGATGTGGTCTGGACACTGACCATGTGTAGAAATAAAAGATCAGTCGTGTTCTTTTTTATATATTTTTCTTAGACATTGCGCATCAGTCGTGTTCTTAGCTCATTAAATTAAATCTTATTTTACAGTGTATGTCCTGCCTAACCTCTACCATGTGTAGGAAACTCATGGTAGAGTAATAATAATACCTTGTTAAATCTTGGTTTACATTTCCTTTTCCTACCTTACCCGTTGTTGAATTGTTCTAGCAGGTAATTCAGTATAAGGCCTGTTTTTAACATCCATGTCTTCATTATGTCCTTTATATATTGTTATCCTCAGATCTTCTGGAGAAGTCCAGGGTTTGCAAGCAGCCGAGAGGAGAGAGAAACTTCCACATCTTCTACCAGCTTCTTTCTGGAGCCTCGGATGACACCCTGAGTAAGTTATACTCACAGTTATCGGTAATACCTTCATGACAATATTACTAACATGGTATGAAGCTTCATTATATGTGGCATAACATCTCAGAAACGGTCAAGAATGTTTGATATGTCATGACAGAGTTATTATTATTACACGTCAAATAAAATGTAACCGATTTATCTAACCGCAACATGTCTTAGTTACTCTAAAGAAACATGTGACCAATACTTAAACATGAGCCTGTGTTTAACTACAGAGAACAAAGACTATGAAACCAGTATGGTTTATTTGTGCTCAGCTGGAGCTCAGCCACTGTTTGGCAGTCTTGTTGAAGGAGAACAATATAATGGTCTTTGATTCAATGGTGGAGAAACATCAAAAGACTTGATTTAGCTGCACTTAATTTAACCTGTAATCCAATACACCATGCTGTGGCTTTCCTTGATACCAGATATGGGACTTTAAAGGGCCATTTGAAACTGCTGCTCGTATGTGTGTGTGTGTGTGTGTGAACTGCTGCTCTAAAGTGTATAGGACTTTAGTCAATATGCACCATGCTAAAGCCATGTGTTTTTGTCTTTCTGGCCCACAGTGAAACTGAAGTTGGACAGAGATTTCAGTAAATACAACTACCTGAGTCTGGATTCAGCCACCGTCAATGGGCTGGATGACGCAGCAAGCTTCAGGACCGTCAGGGTGAGACACACACACACACTAATTCCTGTCTGTCATTGTGTCAATTTGTTTTTGGCTTAGCTTAGAGGTACACTGTGGCAAAGGGTAGGGTGAGAGTAGGGTGAGAGTCTGATCCTCTTTATCTACTGACCGAACAAACTAGCAGGTAGATTGGATTCAGGTTTAAGACAGCTCTGGTCCATGCTCTTAGCCAGCTAGCCTCTTCTACAGCCTCTCTACCTGTTATGTGAGGGTCCATACACGTTGCTGAAAAACAATTCACCAATTAACTGCAAACTTGCACAGACACGCCCCATAATTTTGCCAGCTAGAACCAATGAAATGTCTTCCTTTTTGCCGCAGTCTTTTGCTTATCCATGTGTGTAGTTGTGTACAGACCCTAACTTGAACATTGAACTATATCCACAGCGGGTGAGTGAGACATAAGGATGAGTTTAGCGCAGAGAGGGAATCCCATTCCACCTGCCGTGAAGGCGTTCCCGTACTATAAACAATAGCAGAATGCTTCAGAGTACACACACAGTGGCAGGCAGATTAGATGCTGTACTGATGTGGGAAACATAAGGGAGAAACAGCAGCTGCATTCTTCCTTTCTAAAGTACACACACACTCGCTCTCTGACATGCGGAGCATGGTCATCATGTGTAAGTCTTTCTCTTTACCTCCATCTTCCTCCTGACTCAGTTACTGTTGGTGACACACAGAGGATGTTATGTTATGAGCTGCCTGAGCTTTATCCATTCCTAACTCCCTTAACAGGACTGTCCTGTACTCTACTGTCTCCCTGCCCTTGGACTCTCAGGAGCAGTGGTTGTGTCCCAAATGGCACCTTGTTCCCTATATAGTGCACTTTAGGATGCACTCAGCATCCTGTCTTAGCACTTCTCTCAGTGAGGGAGCTAGTAGGCCACCTCACAGCTGCAGTCCAACTCAACACAATAGAGTTCAGTGCTTTACAACAATAGGACTCTCCACTGGATATGATGTTGTTGTAGGAGCCAAAGGCAGCCTGCTACAGTCTTTTCTCGCCCTTGTTCACAATGGCCTCCTCTGTAGCTCAGTTGGTAGAGCATGGCGCTTGCAACGCCAGGGTTGTGGGTTCGATTCCCACGGGGGGCCAGTATGAAAAAAAAAAATGTATGCACTAACTAACTGTAAGTCGCTCTGGATAAGAGCGTCTGCTAAATGACTAAAAATTTAAAAAATGGTGTCAAATCACAGTAACACACATTTAATAATTCAAGATAGTTCCCCAACCACACAGTCCACATCACTGTGCCCTCTGTCACTAGTTGTCTCACTCTCTTCCCTATCCAGTCCAGAAACTCATCCCCCTTTCTGTTGTCCATGTTATCATTGTGTGTTTGAGATTGACTACATGTACATTTTAAAGTCCAACTGCATAGAATCACTGATCTACAAATCACCTTGCATCCCAAATCAGGGTTCGATACTGCGACCAAAACAGTCGCATTTGCCACTGTTTGACCTGGCAGTGTGACAGACCTTTTTTATAGGTCGCAAGGGTGGCAGTGATTTTTTTTTTACCTGGTCACTTTAGTTGTTGGTTCACAATTTGCTTTTTTTATCATCATGATTTATTCAAACAGTAATGTGCAATTGACCAAAAATAGGCAACAACGGCACGGGAATGTCCGTCTGTGTGTGTCAGGGGAGGTGTTGGAAACCCTCCGGGCCAGTCGATCATCCCCGTCAGTGAAAAAATGTATGCATTTTTTAATCTAGGCTATATAATGGATTAAAAAACAGATGGATTCCCGAAGCTGTTCATTCATTATGTCTATTATTTATCACACGCCCGCTGGACACACATAGCCTATAGATAATCGTTCGGACAGAGAGAGCGAGCAGCTCTCAAACAGCTGGTTGTTGCATGGCGTGAAGACAGACAACGGTAGCGGAAGGAAAGATGTTCCAAGTTATGATATCTACCAGTAAATGCTAAGGCAAGAATGGGTATGCAAACAAGGTAAAAGTTCAAAGTCTTGGTTGAATATTTGCAGTGCACAATTCAGTCATCATGGAATAACCTACCTTGAAAATGACATTTACTCTAGGCTCTTTGGTCCTTGAAGTTATGGTACCCGATTTAGAAGTTCTACTGCGCCAATATAATATGTGATTTATTTTCTGATCAGTTTTATCTGATCAGTTTGTTTCCTGCCGTTTCAATGGAAGGGTGTTGCGCTTGTCGTGGTAAAACCATATGCGGTTATTATGAGCAAGACAACATCGAATGTTGGCTTCAACTTAGTTTTCCATACAAAGCGTTCCAATACAAAGGGAACCCAGTTTTTGGTTGCGTTCTCCTTTTAAAACATGATACGGTAACCCCTCAATAACTCTTCAACATCTCAAATGGCGAGACTGACTAGCTACCACATGGACAGACTTCATTAGTGTGTTTGTGCCGGGAGAATGCTGTCTTTAGTCATGCAATGCCCACATTATTCTGACATAGAATGTTAAAATAATGTGAATGTCAATGCATAATGCCATTGGGTAGGCCTATAAAAAAAAAAAAAAAAAGCTTTATTCTTAGTGGTAATGTATACTTGTTTTGCATACATTTTGGGGGGATTTTTTCTATAGGCTAATACAACAATTAAATATAAAATGTAGGTCCTTGAAAATTAAAATTAAGTGTTTGAAAAAGTTATTGAAAGACCTTGAATTTGACTTGTCTGTATACAAAAATGGTATGTTGTGGTATCGTTTTGGTATCAAGTATCGTTCAAATTCTGCCCTCTCGAGCAGTGGTGTCTAACTCATTTTTCCGGGAGGGGGCGCATTCAGTCTTCAATGAGGTCCGTAGAGCCACACTGAAATATGTTATATTTCCTTGCTGTCAAAATTATGCTCTATCCATCGATTTTGAAATGTTCAATGCTCCCAGACGTCTAGTGATTATTAGCGAGCTGGACAGTGAAGATACTGTATGAATATAGGTCCATTATTTTACATTTACATTTACATTTACGTCATTTAGCAGACGCTCTTATCCAGAGCGACTTACAGTTAGTGCATACATTATTCTTTTTTTTTTTCTTTTTTTTTCATACTGGCCCCCCGTGGGAATCGAACCCACAACCCTGGCGTTGCAAACACCATGCTCTACCAACTGAGCTACCTCCCTGCCGGCCATTCCCTCCCCTACCCTGGACGACGCTGGGCCAATTGTGCGCCGCCCCATTGGTCTCCCGGTTGCGGCCGGCTACAGCAGAGCCTGGATTATCATTTCTACACAGTTTCGATTTGGTTTTAGTGATTTTAAAAGGATACTTTGTGATTTTGGTAATGAGGACCTTTATCTACCCTTTATCTACCTAGCATATACCCATACACTTCCAATCATTACGCTAACACTAGTTACAGTAGCAACTGCGCTAGCGCTAGTTAACAACTCCCTTCAAACTGCACACAGAGAAATAAAATAAAGTGCACAATGTATTTATTGCAGATTTCAAAGTGCCATGTGTTATTTTCTGCGAAATCCTCTAGAGCAGCGGTGTCAAACATACACGGGTCCAATACGGCCCGCGGGAGGTTTGAGTAAAACAAATATTTTAAAAAGCAAAAGGGGGGGAGAAACAAACTCACTATAATTTAAAGGGATACTTAGGGATTTTGGCAATTAGGCCCTTTATCTACTTCCCCAGAGTCAGATGAACTCATGGATATAATGTTTAAGTCTCTTTTCTTTGCTGTTACAGTAAATCTATCAAAATCAATGTAAGAACACAAGGGCATGCTAATTTAAAAGATGGCTAGTCATCATTAGCCTGGTTTTGTATGGAATGCAGGCACATTATGGGACACAGGTCAGGCCATTATCAATTATAGAAAGATTGGTGTGACCAAATTGTGCTGGTGCAACCAACTGAAAAAGTTGGTGGCACTGCCACCAGTGGAAAAAGTTATTGTAGAACCCTGCAAATAACTACTCATTAACAGATCAAGATGAGTTATTCTGCACCTCCCCTTGCTCCAACTGATCCCGTCAAACACGCTGAATGTCTGATTGGCTGTCTCTCTCCCTGTGCCATCCCAGAATGCCATGCAGATTGTGGGCTTCATGGAGGATGAGGTGCAGTCGGTTCTGGAGCTGGTGGCAGCCGTCCTCAAACTGGGGAACATTGAGTTCAAACCAGAGTCCAGGGTCAACGGCTTTGACGAGAGCAGGGTCAAGGACAAGAATGGTGAGACCATAGTCGGACTGGACAACCAGCAGCTTTGCTGTGGGACACAATCGTTTCCTGTTACAGTACACATGCACACACATCTCACTTTTTAAATAACTTTGTGCCCACTTGTGGATACCAAATAATGTGGATGCCTGCATTTCCCTTGCATCTTGAAAATGTAAATATCCCGTATTGTGGCTGTAGAAAATATTGTTTTGGTTATGCATTGTCTTATTAATTGAAGGATAGATAAGATAAGCACACTGTAAGGTATCGGTTAGATTATCACCACTGACCAATAGTCAGTCCCTCCACCACAAGCCATGCCTGTAAATTATATCAACAGTAGCATATGTGTTTGTTATTGTACTTCCCCCTACTGGTTAATGATTAATACATTTAATGGCTTACTAAGGACAATATGCTATAGTTTATGATTGTAAGTACAATAGGCCTATTGATAACCCTACTGATTACAGCTGTCCCCTATTAAGCAAACATAATATTTAGCATGTCTTAGTAACCCAGCCATGGCACAACTTTGCATTATTTCTTTGCAAACACAACTTCTCTACATGATGTCACACTAAAGTGGAACTCCACATGGTCTGTGGTGTGAATCATAAAATCTAAAATTACACCAGCTTATTAATGGCATTTCCCCTTGTGACCATTTGACGGCTGTATGGACTGTCACGGTACACAAAGACATTAGTCAACAACACCACTCTTACAGAAGACCATTTAGTGAGACAATTGACATGTAAATACCTAAGGACATTAAGGTTAATGCGCTTCAGTAACTCCTCTTAAACACTACTATGTCCAGCTGCTTTGGGAATTCCTGGCCAGGAGACACAATACTGATCCTAAAGGAGATCCTCTGAGAAGAGAGAGAGTAGATTACCTTATCTCTTTATGGAAAGGGTTTAGCTAATGCCCTTATGGCTACCCACTGGAACCCTGATACTGACATCATGTGCCATTGTTGGTAGAGCTTAATGTTGATATGGATTCCATCATCCCTGCAGGGGATAAATGTATTTTATTGATAGATTTCATCTAGTCATTGCCTATTTGTTTCTTTGCCCTAGGCCTGTATACAAAGCTCTATGATGATTGAGTGTTTGTCTTTTCTCTTAGTGAATGTGTCTTTCCTCTGCTCTATCTTCCAGACCTGAAGGAGATGTGTGAGCTGTTGGGGATTGAGCAGTCTGTGCTGGAGAGGGCTTTCAGCTACCGCACTGTGGAAGCCAAGATGGAGAAGATGTCTACCACACTCAACGTGGCCCAGGTGAGAAGAACTCTCTGTCATCACTGTATAGCAATAGGCTTGGGCGGTATACCGTATACCGGGGTATTTGGAAATAGCCATGGGATGGTTTTTCAATACCGTAGAAAATATTTCTTATATGTTTAAAAAAAAAAATACATTTGAATATTTGTAGCTACTTTTTAAGTAAATACCTGCGGTCAACTTGTGCAATACGTTAGGAGATAAAGAAGATTGCCTTCTTCATTTCACCTGTCACATATCATTATGAAGCTTACCGGTAGTCCCTAGTCACTTGGTGTTTGTTTACAAGCACACAGCAGCAAGAGACCGGAGCCTTGTGAGTCGCTCACTGTTGTGCAGCACGCGCCAGGTGCTCCCGAGTGGCACAGCGGTCTAAGGCACTGCATCTCAGTGCTAGAGGGGTCACTACAGACCCTGGTTCGATTCCAGGCTGTATCACAATCCGGCCGTGATTGGGAGTCCCATAGGGCGGCGCACAATTGGCCCAGCGTCGTCTGGGTTTGGCAGGTGTAGGCCGTCATTGTAAATAAGAATTTGTTCTTAACTGACTTGCCTAGTTAAATAAAGGTTCAAAAAAATAAAACAAACTAGTTACAGTATGGAATTCACAGCTAAATGTTTGCCAGCTAGATATCTTATATAACTATTAAGTTTAAATGTCTAAAATGTGCTAAATGCTCTGCAGTTGTGCGTTTGGTTTTCTAATTTAGTAGCTAGTTAGCTATCTAGCTAAGTGGTTAGCTTCTTGAGTTACTTGTGAAACTTTGAGCTGGGATGTCTGTCCTGAATATAGTTTAGGTCAGAGACTGTATAAAATGTTCCCAATGCGCTTGTTAGCATTTAGATGGCACAAGGTCAGTATGAAGGTATGACAATTTGGATACCGCTCAAGCCTATATAGCAACACACTACTTTACTTTACATAATCTATTTAAACATGAGTATATATAATATAACATTATATGCCACTTATCAACTTACAGTGAGTGGCAGTGCATACATTTTAGTATTTGTATGTGATCCCTGTGGGACTTGAACCCACGACCTTGACGTTGCTAGCACCATGCCCTTACCAACTGAGCCACCCAGGACCACCAAAAGGTCCTGTCATCATTGTATAGCAACACACTTCCTTTCATGATAGCACTGACAGACTAAGTCTTAGGGGATGTTTCACACTCCAGTTCTGGATGGATGGATGAGAAAGGAGAAGATCAATTCCCTCTGACTTAGTTCTCTAGCAGCTAGCTAACCCCCATCCCATCCCCACCTACTGTACATGGAAACATATCCATAATAGAAGAGGGGTTGGTGAATTCTCCCCTGGAAATGCAGAAGTTGGTCATATTTTGGAGGTTAGTGAGTTCAGGCAGCAGGCACATTCATCTTTTAGATGAGAGGAATAGAAGCTAGTCTCCTCTCCCAATCCTGGAGGTCTGTGAGTTCAGGCAACATTCAGTTGGAGATGAAAATAAAGTAATAGAGGCTAGTCCTCTCCCTAGTCCTCTCCCTAGTCCTCTCCCTAGTCCTCTCCCTAGTCCTCTCCCTAGTCCTCTCCCTAGACCTCGCCCTAGTCCTCGCCCTAGTCCTCGCCCTAGCCCTCTCCCTAGCCCTCTCCCTATGCTCCACAAAATCAGCTTATGAAGGAGGGTAGAACAAAGGGATGAGCTTCACTTCTCCTGAAAAGTGATTTAAACACTCTTGGCAGATATCTGCTAGCCTGGTCTCAGATCTGTTTGTGCTGTGTTGCCAACTTCTATACTCATTGCCGTGACAATGACTATAAGAGTTGTCAAGGCAGCACAAACAGACCTGCTTCCCTGAGACAGAGACACCACCCCCTGGTGCTGCTGTGTGGTGTCTCTAGAGTCCATCAGAACTTATCTTAACAAATAGATAGCATAAACAGAAGGGTATAAAAAGGCCAGACAGAGACAATAACTCAGAGCACATTGGTTGTAGCTCTTGGAGGAACTATCAAACTAAGGATCACCAGATTATCCATAGCACATCATCACCAGTTCAAACATCAGCTCCAAGAAGTGTTTGTTTGTCAGGGAGGTTATGCCTGGTCCTGTCCAAGTTTAACTCTTCCATTCTGTTTGTGTGTGTGTGCCTGTGTGTGTGTGTGTGTGTGCCTGTGTGTGTGTGTGCCTGTGTGTGTACAGTGCATTCGGAAAGTATTCAGACCCCTTGACTTCTTCCAAATGTTGTTACGTTACAGCCTTATTCGAAAATTGATTACATTGTTGTTGTTTTCTTCTCATCAATCTACATACAATACCATAATGACAAAGCAAAAACAGGTTTTTATAAATTTGAGCAAATTCAGACCATTTACTCAGTACTTTGTTGAAGCACCTTTGGCAGCGATTACAGCCTCAAGTCTTCTTGGTTATGACGCTACAAGCTTGGCACACCTGTATTTGTGGAGTTTCTCCTATTCTTCTCTGCAGATCCTCTTAAGCTCAGTCAGGATGGATGGGGTGTGTCGCTGCACAGCTATTTTCAGGTCTCTCCAGAGATGTTAGATCGGGTTCAAGTCCGGGCTCTGACTGGGCCACTCAAGGACATTCAGAGACTTGTCCCGAAGCCACTCCTGTGTTGTCTTGGCTGTGTGCTTAGGGTCGTTGTCCTGTTGAAAGTTGAACCTTCGCCCCAGTCTGAGGTCCTGAGTGCTCTGGAGCAGGTTTTCATCAAGGATCTCTCTGTACTTTGCACCATTCATCTTTCCCTCGATCCTGACCAGTCCCTGCCGCTGAAAAACATCCCCACAGCATGATGCTGCCACCATGCTTCACCATAGGGATGGTGCCAGGTTTCCTCCAGACGTGACGCTTGGCATTCAGGCCAAATAGTTCAATCTTGGTTTCATCAGACCAGAGAATCCGCCCTGACCAAGGCCCTTCTCCCCCGATTGCTTTGGCTGGGCGGCCAGCTCTAGGAAGAGTCTTGGTGGTTCCAAACTTCTTCCATTTAAGAATGATGGAGGCCACTGTGTTCTTGGGGTTCCTTCAGTGCTGCAGAAATTTTTTTGGTACCCTTCCCCAGATCTGTGCCTCGACACAATCGTGTTTCAGAGCTCTACGGACAATTCCTTCGACTTAATGGCTTGGTTTTTGCTCTGATATGCACTGTCAACTCTTGGACCTTATATAGACAGGTGTGTGCCTTTCCAAATCATGTCCAATCAATTGAATTTAAACACAGGTGGACTCCAATCAAGTTGTATAAACATCTCAAGGATGATCAATGGAAACAGGATGCACCTGACCTCAATTTCGAGTCTCATAGCAAAGGGTCTGAATACTTATGTAAATAAGGTATTTTTTTTTCTTCTGTTTTCCCTTTGTCATTATGGGGTATTGTGTGTGTAGGTTGATGAGGATTTTTATTTATTTAATCAATTTTAGATTAAGGCTGTAACGTAACAAAATGTGGAAAAAGTCAAGGGGTCTGAATACTTTCCGAATGCACTGTACCTGTGTGTGTTGTTTACATGAGGAATGACAGCTTTTCTCTATTCCAGTGTGGCTGTGTGCCAGAGAATGAGCCTCTAATAACTATAGGGATGTTATTTGGCCCACTCTAGGACACGCCTCTTCAAACAGCTCAATGTTTAATTTCACTGTTATTCCCCTGTAGCTCAGTTGGTAGAGCATGGCGCTTGCAACGCCAGGGTTGTGGGTTCGTTTCCCACGGGGGGCCAGTATGAAAATGTATGCACTCACTAACTGTAAGTACGCTCTGGATAAGAGCGTCTGCTAAATGACGTAAATGTAAATGTTCCGTTGTGGATTGTTGGAAAGAGAAACATTCTACAGCTGGAGTTAGTGCCTTGCAAAAGTATTCATCCCCCTTGCCGTTTTTCCTATTTTGTTGCATTACAACCTGTAATTTAAATGGATTTTTATTTGGATTTCATGTAATGGACATATACAAAATAGTCCAAATTGGTGAAGTGAAATGAAAAAAATTACTTGTTTCAAAAAATTCTAAAAAATAAATAACGGAAAAGTGGTGCGTGCATATGTATTCACCCCCTTTGCTATGAAGCCCCTAAATAAGATCTGGTGCAACCAATTACCTTCAGAAGTCACATAATTAGTTAGATTGTACACAGGTGGACTTTATTTAAGTGTCACATGATCTGTCACATGATCTTAGTATATATACACCTGTTCTGAAAGGCCCCAGAGTCTGCAACACCACTAAGCAACGGGCACCACCAAGCAAGCGACACCATGAAGACCAAGGAGCTCTCCAAACAGATCAGGGACAAAGTTGTGGAGAAGGACAGATCAGGGTTGGGTTATAATTTTTTTTTATCTGAAACGTTGAACATCCCACGGAGCACCATTTTTTAAATCCATTATTAAAAAATTGAAAGAATATGGCACCACAACAAACCTGCCAAGAGAGGGCCACCCACCAAAACTCACAGACCAGGCAAAGAGGGCATTTATCAGAGAGGCAACAATGAGACCAAAGATAACCCTGAAGGAGCTGCAAAGCTCCACTGAGGAGATTGGAGTATCTGTCCATAGGACCACTTTAAGCCGTACACTCCACAGAGCTGGGCTTTACGGAAGAATGGCCACAAAAAAAGGCATTGCTTAAAGAAAAAAATAAGCAAACACATTTGGTGTTCGCCAAAAGGCATGTGGGAGACTCCCCAAACATATGGAAGAAGGTACTCTGGTCAGATGAGACTAAAATTGAGCTTTTTGGCCATCAAGGAAAACGCTATGTCTGGCGCAAACCCAACACCTCTCATCACCCCGAGAACCCCGGCAGGGACTGGGAAACTGGTCAGAATTGAAGGAATGATGGATGGCGCTAAATACAGGGAAATTCTTGAGGGAAACCTGTTTGTCTTCCAGAGATTTGAGACTGGGACGGAGGTTCACCTTCCAGCAGGACAATGACCCTAAGCATACTGCTAAAGCAACACTCAAGTGGTTTAAGGGGAAACATTTAAATGTCTTGGAATGGCCTAGTCAAAGCTCAGACCCCAATACAATTGAGAATATGTGGTATGACTTAAAGATTGCTGTACATCAGCGGAACCCATCCAACTTGAAGGAGCTGGAGCAGATTTGCCTTGAAGAATGGGCAAAAATCCCAGTGGCTAGATGTGCCAAGCTTATAGAGACATACTCCAAGAGACTTGCAGCTGTAATTGCTGCAAAAGGTAGCTCTACAAAGTCTTGACTTTGGGGGGGGGGGTGAATAGTTATGCACTCTTTCTGTTTTTTGTCATATTTCTTGGTTGTTTCACAATAAAAAATATTTTGCATCTTCAAAGTGGTAGGCATGTTGTGTAAATCAAATGATACAACATCCATTTTAATTCCAGGTTGTAAGGCAACAAAATATAAAAAATGCCAAGGGGGGTGAATACTTTTGCGAGCCACTGTATAGCTTGACTGATGCCACTTTCACGTCCATAATGACTTATCTATCTGAGCTCCATGGGCCCTGTCCCAGTTGACTGGTGAATGCTACACTACTAAAAGCATTTGCCTGAGATATTTACTACAGCTATTATTCTCTGCGTATGAGAGCACTGAAATCTATATAGTAAGCCCTCATTTGTGATTTTCTAGGCCTACTATGCCCGTGATGCCCTGGCCAAAAACCTCTACAGCCGTCTGTTCAGCTGGCTGATCACCAGGATCAATGAAAGCATCAAGGTAAGGCCTTTCTCTGGCCTCTCTGGCCTCGCTCTGGCCTCTCTTGTCTCATGATTTATTCTACACTGTATTATTCTACAAGACATTGACTTTAAAGATATGCCCTACCAAACTAAAAGACACATTTTATGTGTGTCTTATACTTTCTCTTTCCCTTTATTTCTCCTCTCAGGCTCAAGCAAAAACACGCCACAAGGTGATGGGAGTCCTGGACATCTATGGTTTTGAAATCTTCGAGGTAAGAGTAATGGCACACAGTTAATGAAAGGGGTCGCCTAAATGGACAGAAATATGTCCAGAAATGACCTCACACCTCTCATCACCCATGAGCGGAAGCTTATTGTTTGCCTAAAAGAAAGAATTTGTGTGGTTTTGTGAGAGAATACATTTGACATGAACAACTAGCAACTTAACTTCCACAGTGCCTCTTTAAGTTGATCTCTAAGGTACATGTTCCTAATGTTCCTGACTGTTCCCCACTCATTATGAAGTTGTTTCATTCCTCTCTCCTGAATGTTGTTGTGTCTGGGCCGACAGGATGGAGTAAGTACACCTGCTGAGGGTATGCTGAGTGCTGGGTGCAGTGTGCATGCTGTGATCTAGCTCAGCCCTTAATCCTAGTCTTAATTCAGATCATATCTATAACAGGACCTCCCTTGTGTTTTTTTTTGTTGGGGGGGGGGGGGTATGAAAGAGTATTGGTGTGTCTCTTAAGGGAAGAAGAGAACATACAATAGCAGAGCTATTCTGAAGAGTGTATGAATTAGCCTTTTTCCAGATCTGTTAGTGCTGGCTTGCCAACTCCTATGGTCCTCATCAAGCCAAATGTTTGGTATGACAATAACCATACGGTTTGGCAAGGCAGCACAAACAGATCTGGGACCAGGCTATGTATGAACACCCTCCTTCTGTTGCCATGTGGGTCCTTCTCTTCCTGACCAGAGGTCACCAGCATGTCATTCATGCCCAGTAGGTATGCTGTTCTAACCCTCTGTAACCTAAGCAAATGGAGTGATATTGTTACCTAACCCAATGCTGCTGCTGTTAGCCAAGAGTAATGACTGGAAACTAAACTGGTCTTCTTAACTGATAAGAAAGGGGGATAATTTAGATAAGTTAGGTATTTTAAATGGTTAACAATCTTTTATACTTCATGCCTGTTCACTGTCTCTGTTCAATGCTGTTGAAATGAGCTGATAAACACTGAAGCCTTGCCAAGATTAGTTAACATGTATCCATGATAAGAAACACAGATAGGATTATACTATCAGGCAGCTATCTGTCCTTTGGATTTGTTCAAGAGCGGTTGTAAAGCAATAAGGAGGAATGCCAGTCAAAGAAAGTTCTATGCCCTCATTTGCCCTGGCTGTTTGGTACTGTAACTAGTATTGCCACACATGTATAGTCTGTTCCCACAGTAGTTCAGAGAGAGAAGAGATTATCTCTGTTTGTTTGGAAAGATACATTTTCTTTGTTAGCGTGACATAACAGTGAAGGAATGGGGATCAAGGAATTGTTGTCTTTTTTGGCATTACCCTAGTGGTATCCAACAAGGAAGCCACAGGGGGAGAACAGGACCCGGGAGTGACCTGAAAGCTTATCGAAAGCTGCATGTCAACATAGCAACAGGTGGCAACAGATGGGGGCCATTTCACAGTGTCAGACAGGCAAGAGAGGACAGCAGTCAGTATATTACTGAGTTTTACCCCCAATATGTACTGAAAGTGGTGTGATGTGGTACCATGCTGTGTGCATCTGGAATTGCTACATTTTTGCCTATTTAGAACATGAGTCTAAATGGTGTCAATGGGGGTTCTCTACAGGACAACAGCTTTGAACAGTTCATCATCAACTACTGCAATGAGAAACTGCAGCAGATCTTCATCGAACTGACGCTACGCGAAGAGCAGGAGGAGTACATCAGAGAGGTAAACTGTCCCCTGTTCCCTCGTCCACCTTACTGGAGACAACAAGGGTGTGTTCACTAGGGCATATCGTAGATTTTTTGTGTCAAACCTTTCAAAAAGGACAACAAAAATCAGTGTTTCTTATTGGGACAAATCGTGTTAGTCCCTCCCTGTTTCAGTGTGTTTTCTTCTCTTTGGTGCTTAATGAACACAACCCAGTCGTTGCACTCTACTGGCATGTAGTCAGAGGAGGGCGTTGCCCCATAAAGCCATCCATCTCTCACTGTTCTCTTTGTGGCCTGACACCTAGTTTACATTCCACACATTGACAGGCCAATTTGTAGTGTGAACCAGGTTTGTCATGCAGTGTTTTAGTACTGGGCTGTGTTATTGATCAATATCAGTCTTTCACCTTTTGCCTTCCCAGTTTTCTCTTTATGTCCCTCTCTTGCTCTTTCACTCCTTCCTATCCCATCTATTTTGTCTTTTACTTTTCTCTTTGCCTCTGTACCCCATTTCTCTCTTCCTCAATTTCCTATTATCCATCTCTATCTTTCTAGTCCCCTCTTTCCATCCCCATTCCTTGCCCTCATCCTTCTCTCCTGCTCTTTTCACCATACTTTCCATCTCTCTCTATCCCTCTCACTCCCTCTCTTGCCCTACTTTCTTCTCCTTTCTCTCCCTCCCTCTCTCCTCTCCTCTGTGGGCTTTAGGGACGGAATTGATCCTTCACTCCAGCAGGGGTAAACACACTTCTCCCCCTGGGGCTCAGGCCTCTGTTTGCTTTTAGAGCTCTTAAGTATGTGAGTGCTGCTCCCTTGACCTCCCTTCCATGATATTCCACTGCCTGGCCTCCCTCCAGAACAGTGCATGGGAAAATACTACACTGTGGAAGACAGGAGGGGACAGGGGGCGGGACAGTGGGGACCACTGACCAATCAGGATGCAGAGTTCACATCCCCAGATGGCTAACCCAGCCCCGCCCCTTTCCTCTCCCCCAAACCTGGAACCTCTGTTTGTCTGTCACACAGACCAAGTCAGCCTGAACCACCAGTTTCCAGCCACAACATGACATAAAGCTCCAAATCCAAGCCCTATGGCTCGGCACCATTTGTAGTGTTGTTCATCCAGGCACTCTCAGAAACATGTCGTAATCCTGAGTCTTGTGCTCTTATTGAATTGTATATAAATGTATATACGTTGAATAGAAAATATCTTATAAGGACTGTTACTGTATAAGGCCCAAGCTGCAGCTGTGTCTGCCCATGAACACAGCAGATCTAGATCTATAGAAAAGGTCAATGACTGAATAGCTTTGGTCAGCCAGGCTAGACAGATGTTTTAGATACTATCAGACAGATAGCGAACTGCTTAAACGATTCTCAATCTCTTGACTTCATGGCCCATTGGTTAGTTGTCTGTCTGAGATTATAGAAGGTCAATGGCTTTCTCTTAAGCCACTCAGGTCTGTATAAGTAAGTCTAGGTGAGGTCAGGATTAAAACTACAGGACAACGCTTTCTTGGAAGAAGTAAGTGAAAGTTAGTGGAAAAAAGTGAATAGTAACCCCTCTTTAACCTCTTGACATCTGTTCTTGTTTGTGACAGGACATTGAATGGACCAACATAGAGTATTTCAACAACGCCATTATCTGTGAACTCATCGAGAAAGTAAGTAGGTCTCCCTCAATGTCCTCTGATTCTTGGAAAACAAAGCAATTTCACAAGAATCTGTGAATAAATCAATTGAAACAATTGTCCTTGATACTGTATACCAATTTCCTGTGTCTTATTGCTACAGACAGGAGATGATTACCTTAAAGATGAGAACTTTGTGCTGTAATCACAGTTGACTCTGTTGTATCCTAAATTTAGGATTTCTTATGAAGAACCTCTAAGAAACCTCTCCTCCATCTCTCTGTCTAGAAACAGAATGGTATCTTGGCCATGCTGGATAGACCGTTGTTAAAAATAATTGAATTACCCTTAATGTCTAAAAGTATTTCTAAGAATTCCCCCTCCTCTCTTTATTCTAGAACCAGAATGGTATCTTGGCCATGTTGGATGAGGAGTGCCTGCGGCCAGGCACAGTGACTGACGACACCTTCCTAGACAAGCTGAACACCATCTGTGCTGAGCACCAGCACTTTGAGAGCCGCCTTAGCAAGAACTCCAAGTTCCTGACAGACCACAGCCTGCCACACAGCTGCTTCCGCATCCAACACTATGCTGGGAAGGTACGGAGGTGGAACACACACCTTGCACATCATCAAATACTTTTTCTGCACTTGATTGAGCTTGCCTGGCGCAAAGGAACCAATTGAATAGAAATTTCAAAGCTCGCCCAACTGGCACTCAAAGTATTTGAAAGAAAACCAATACTATTTCAACCCAGGTCTGCAACATCTTCAAAATTGATGGGAATGGGACAACATGGTATACATGTAATCACTGGCCAGGTGTCGAGACAGGATAAATACTGATTATAGTCACCAGAGCAGAGCGTGCAGATTTGGGTTAAGAGCATTACCTGAAGGCGTCACATGCAGTGATTGTAAAAATATCAGACATGATGGGATTAGAATAGCCCAGAATATCTCCATCTTGAAAGATTCTCTGGGTAAATAGATTTATAATCCCTGTTTCGTCAACATGCACCACTTACAGTGATGCATTTTTATGAATCAATCTATAGCAAACATTTCCTCAGGATGAGTTTAGGATTGACAGTAATACACTAGTATTACAACTACTACTACAAAAAACGTGACGTACATGGGCACACACTTTTACTGGATTCAGACAAATGACAAGAAAGAAGTTGGCAGTTAAAATAAGTATATTTTCATAATTAAGGGACGACAACAGATATGTTTTGTGTTTTGTATCCGACTGTTTGTGTTAATCTGTTCCTCTGTAATCTTTTGTGTAGGTGCTGTACCGTGTGGAGGGCTTTGTAGACAAGAACAATGACCTGCTGTACAGAGACCTGTCCCAGGCCATGTACAAGGCCACCCACAGCCTGATGAGAGAGCTGTTTCCTGAAGGAAACCCTGCTAAGGTCAACCTGAAGAGACCCCCCACTGCAGGCTTCCAGTTCAAGGCCTCTGTAGGTGTACTCATGAGGAACCTGCAGACCAAAAACCCCAACTACATCAGGTAAGTTACCATTCACTCTGAGGATCATTTATACTAAATGAACAGTATTGTGATCAGAAAAAAAGTTGGTCACAATTTATTTTGATAGTCTGGATTTTTCATCTGTAGATGCTCTACAGATAGTCATACCATCAACAAACGGATTGCTAAGGTTACAGTTAGGGTTAGGTTTAGGGCTTGGTTAAGTTTAGGGTTAGGATAAGCGCAGAGTTTCCCAAACTCTGTCCTGGGGACCCCAAGGGGTGCCCATTTTGGTTGTTGCCCTAGCACTACACAGCTGATTCAAATAATCAAAACATGATGATGAGTTAATTATTTGAATAATCTGTGTAGTGCTAGGGCAAAAACCAAAACGTGCATCCCCAGGACCGAGTTTGGGAAACGCTGGGATAAGGGTTAGAGCTAGAGTTAAGGTTAGTAGATAGTTAGTTGAAATATTACCGAGTCTGCAGAGCATCTACAGATGGACTATCCAAATAAAGTGTTTCCAAAAAGTTCCCTCAATAAACTCTATAAACTTGGAGCAGTATTCTGAGACCTGAGCTAACTACATTTTTTGTAAAAGTTACACAAAACTATGAGTTGTCTCAACTCTAATCCACTGATAACCATTGTGTGACCATGCATGTCCATACCAAAGTGTCTGACTGTCTGTTTTCCTCAGGTGCATCAAGCCCAACGATAAGAAGGCAGCCCACATCTTCACCGACTCGCTGGTGTGTCACCAGGTGCGTTACCTGGGCCTGATGGAGAATGTGCGTGTGAGGAGGGCTGGCTATGCCTTCCGCCAGCTCTACGAGTCCTGTCTGAAGCGATACAAGATGCTCTGCAAGAAGACCTGGCCCCAGTGGAGAGGACCCGCCAGGTAGGACCTCTGCTCTGCCTGAACAGAAATAATGTAGTTATTATCTGCCTGTTCAGAATATTGTATTTACCATATGATGAACCTAGAGTAAAAATATTTACCTCAGTCTTCCTCATTCAAATCAAGGAATAACACCCTTTTTTAAATCAGCAGTTGTCACAAAGTGCTTTTACAGTTTCCTTTCCCACGTTCAGCAGAATGCTGTGAAATAACAGCATACTAACGACAGGATAATGTAGTAACAGCAGTAGTCATCCATAGATGATTTGCCCACACATATCCCACCATGATACAACTATGTCAACAAGCTGTGTTGGGGTGGTTAGATCTTGTAGTGATCTGCTTGCTCTTGGTGACGATCAGTCAATCCATGGTTCCTTTACTCTGCCCTGGGTATTTTGAGGCAGTTGGTCCATAGCTCTGATGCTATGTATCCATATATGTCATGTTACATTCACTGACAAGTGAGATGGCGCTGCAGTGGATAGCAGACATTTTACGGACTCCTGACCAATTCTGCTATTTTGTGTGCTTTTTTTACACTGATCTTAACTTTTTTCAGAACAGCGATCACTAACCTCGATTTGGTTGACAATTTCTACTTCAACGAGTCGGTAGCTCTGGACGTTCTGCTTACTCCAGACCAGGCCCTAATCTCCGGGACTCGAAAGAGGAAGTGACGGCCCAAGAGAGGCAGACGAGCTGGAATCCTGATGGGACTATGTTGGCGAGCAAATAAACTACCTCTATCCTCTGTTCTATTGGCGAACATACAGTCACTAGAGAACAAACTGGACAAGCTCCATTCGAGACTATCCTATCAACGGGACCTGAAGAACTGTAATATTCAATGTTTCTCAAAGTCATGGATGAGCAAGGACATGGATAATATACATCTTGCTGGTTTTTTCCATGTATCGTCAAGACCGGACGTTAGCATCGGGTAAGACGATGGAGGGAGGGGTGTGTTTTTGTTAACAACAGCTGGTGCGCGATCTCGAATGTTAGAATACCACATGATAAGCTGCAGACCATACTGTTTACCAAGAGAGTTTTCATCTATATTTTTAGTAGCTGTCTATTTACCACCACAAACTGATACTTGCACAAAGACCGCACTCAATGAGCTGTATAGGGTCATAAGCAAACAAGAAAATGCACATCCAAAGGCGGCGCTTCTCGTGGACGGTGATTTTATTGCAAGGAAACTGCAATACCTCATTTTTACCAGCGTGTCACCTGTGCAACTAGAGGTGGCAAAACTCTATATAACCTTTACTTCACACACAGAAATGCATACAAGGCGCTCCCTCGCCCTCCCTTTGGCAAATCTGACCATAACTCTATCCTCCTAATTCCTGTTTACAAGCAAAAACTCAAACAGGAAGTACCGGTGATGCTCTAAATACGGAAGTGGTCCGATGAAGCGGATGCTAAGCTACAGGACTGTTTCGTTGGTGCAGACTGGAATATGTTTCGGGATTCATCCGATAACATTGAGTAGTTTACCACATCAGTCACCGGCTTCATTAATAAGTGCATCGATGACATCATCCCCACAGTGACTGTACGTACAGTGAGGGAAAAAAGTATTTGATCCCCTGCTGATTTTGTACGTTTGCCCACTGACAAAGACATGATCAGTCTATAATTTTAATGGTAGGTTTATTTGAACAGTGAGAGACAGAATAACAACAAAAAAATCCAGAAAAATGCATGTCAAAAATGTTATAAATTGATTTGCATTTTAATGAGGGAAATAAGTATTTGACCCCTCTGCAAAACATGACTTAGTACTTGGTGGCAAAACCCTTGTTGGCAATCACAGAGGTCAGACGTTTCTTGTAGTTGGCCACCAGGTTTGCACACATCTCAGGAGGGATTTTGTTCCACTCCTCTTTGCAGATCTTCTCCAAGTCATTAAGGTTTCGAGGCTGACTTTTGGCAACTCGAACCTTCAGCTCCCTCCACAGAATTTCTATGGGATTAAGGTCTGGAGACTGGGTAGGCCACTCCAGGACCTTAATGTGCTTCTTCTTGAGCCACTCCTTTGTTGCCTTGGCTGTGTGTTTTGGGTCATTGTCATGCTGGAATACCCATCCACGACCCATTTTCAATGCCCTGGCTGAGGGAAGGAGGTTCTCACCTAAGATTTGACGGTACATGGCCCCGTCCATCGTCCCTTTGATGCGGTGAAGTTGTCCTGTCCCCTTAGCAGAAAAACACCCCCATAGCATAATGTTTGGCGGTGGGGATGGTGTTCTTGGGGTCATAGGCAGCATTCCTCCTCCTCCAAACACGGCGAGTTGAGTTGATGCCAAAGAGCTCCATTTTGGTCTCATCTGACCACAACACTTTCACCCAGTTCTCCTCTGAATCATACAGATAGATGTTCATTGGCAAACTTCAGACGGTCCTGTATATGTGCTTTCTTGAGCAGGGGGATCTTGCGGGCGCTGCAGGATTTCAGTCCTTCACGGCGTAGTGTGTTACCAATTGTTTTCTTGGTGACTACGGTCCCAGCTGCCTTGAGATCATTGACAAGATCCTCCCGTGTAGTTCTGGGCTGATTCCTCACCGTTCTAATGATCATTGCAACTCCACGAGGTGAGATCTTGCATGGAGCCCCAGGCCAAGGGAGATTGACAGTTCTTTTGTGTTTCTTCCATTTGCGAATAATCGCACCAACTGTTGTCACCTTCTCACCAAGCTGCTTGGCGATAGTCTTGTAGCCCATTCCAGCCTTGTGTAGGTCTATAATCTTGTCCCTGACATCCTTGGAGAGCTCTTTGGTCTTGGACATGGTGGAGAGTTTGGAATCTGATTGATTGATTGCTTCTGTGGACAGGTGTCTTTTATACAGGTAACAAACTGAGATTAGGAGCACTCCCTTTAAGAGTGTGCTCCTAATCTCAGCTCGTTACCTGTATAAAAGACACCTGGGAGCCAGAAATCTTTCTGATTGAGAAGGGGTCAAATACTTATTTATACTTATTTCCCTCATTAAAATGCAAATCAATTTATAACATTTTTGACATGCGTTTTTCTGGATTTTTTTGTTGTTATTCTGTCTCTCACTGTTCAAATAAACCTACCATTAAAATTATAGACTGATCATGTCTTTGTCAGTGGGCAAACGTACAAAATCAGCAGGGGATCAAATACTTTTTTCCCTCACTGTACATATCCCAACCAGAAGCCATGGATTACAGGCAACATCTGCACTGAGCTAAAGGCTAGAGCTGCCGCTTTCAAGGAGAGGGACACTAATCCGGACGCTTGTAAGAAATCCCGCTATGACCTCCGATGAGCCATCCAACAGGCAAAGCGTCAATACAGGACTAATATCAAAACCTACTACGCCGGCTCTGATGCTCGTCGGGTTTGGCAGGGCTTGCAAACTATCACGGATTGCAAAGGGAAACCCAGCCACGAGCTGCCCAGTGATGTGAGTAGGGCTGTTGTGGGGACCCTATTACGGCCACACCGGCAGTCATGAGTCATGACCGCAGTCAAATTCCATGTGACTGTTGAGTCACGATAATCTCCTTTTATGCACTCTGGACATGCGTTGGTAGTACCCAACTCACTAACAAGTGCCTAATGGCCTGGTACTCAGTGCGCTATTGTCCCTCAAACCACTCTGACATCAATGCAAATGCAATCGAAAATCAGATCAAACACGTATCATGAAAACAGTATCATGCTTTTAAAACTAACCATTAGGCTAAATTTTTTGACCTCACTGTGATCAATTTGAAGGTTCAACAACAGGTTGAAACATTGGAAAACATGGTCATTGTGGATTTGTTTCAAAGTCAAACAATGAAATGGACAGCACTTTCTAAGGTGATCATTAATTCAAAGGATTTAAGACGTTGCATGTAGAACACAATATGCATATTACAGATTATGCATAGGCCCATATATGAGCCCAGCCCCCCCCCCCCAAAAAACAAAACTGAATTTTACACATGGCATATTACACATGGCAGAAAAACTGATTTTAAGATGTCTTTGGTACATAATTGGTCTAGTTTATACTCCCAAATTAAACACATTCTAGAAATCACCTTTGAGTGTGCGCTGTATTATTATGCATACTGGATGGCCTTGTTACCTTATGCTATACTGCAAACTTTCTATCCAGAAGTCTGGGAGAGAACGTATAGGCCTAGGAGATGCTGTTGGTTCATTGATAGAATATGTATTTGATTTTGAATAGCCTAGTAATAGGGCATGTTTTTATATTTTCATAATTAATAGGCTGACACATTACCTTTAGCTATAGACTATCTCACCACTGTGCGTTTCCATCTCCTCTCTCTCTCCTTCATTCCTTTCTCGAGCTCGCAGATAATTAAATATGTTTTGTTGTGAAAACATGTTACTATCAATGTTCCTGAACAGATTAGACTTGGTTTCCCAAATTAAGCACTGGGTAGCTGCAGGAACATGGTTGGAGAGCCCATGGCATAAAGAGTTTGGGAAGAACAGAGCGCAAGCTTTTTTGCTACTTTTTCAAATAGTAAATAGCCTATAGTTGCATCATGCATCCCATATATGTTTTGATTTCTAAGACATTCTAAGGCTTATCGTTCACAACTAAATTAGCCAAATAACTCTAAATCTAGCGGATAGGACCTGTTTCAAATGATCACTTTTATGCTCGACACAGCCACTTCATATGCACACTCGCTCTGGAATGGGAAAAATATCCTTTCTATTTTTCTTCAGCTAAGTTCAATTACATTCTTGTTCTCTTTTTTTTACACACATACACATATACACTACCGTTCAAAAGTTTGGGGTCACTTAGAAATGTCCTTGTTTTTGAAAGAAAATCATTTTTTTTGTCCATTAAACTAACATCAAATTGATCCGAAATACAGTGTAGACATTGTTAATGTTGTAAATGGCTATTGTAGCTGGAAACGGCTGATTTTTAATGGAATATCTACATAGGCGTACAGAGGCCTATTATCAGCAACCATCAGTCCTGTGTTCCAAAGGCACGTTGTGTTTGCTAATCCAAGGTTATCATTTTAAAAGGCTAATTGATCATTAGAAAACCCTTTCGCAATTATGTTAGCACAGCTGAAAACTGGCCTTCTTGAGACTAGTTGAGTATCTGGAGCATCAGCAATTGTGGGTTCGATTTCAGGCTCAAAATGGCCAGAAACAAATAACTTTCTTCTGAAACTCATCAGTCTATTCTTGTTCTGAGAAATGAAGCATATTCCATGCAAGAAATTGCCAAGAAACTGAAGATCTCGTACAACGCTGTGTACTACACCCTTCACAGAACAGCGCAAACTGGCTCTAACCAGAATAGAAAGAGGAGTGGGAGGCCCCGGTGCACAACTGAGCAAGAGGACAAATACATTAGTGTCTAGTTTGAGAAACAGACGCCTCACAGGTCCTCAACTGGCAGCTTCATTAAATAGTACCCACAAAACACCAGTCTCAACGTCAACAGTGAAGAGGCGACTCCGGGATGCTGACCTAGGCAGAGTTGCAAAGAAAAAGTCCAGTGTCTGTGTTCTTTTGCCCATCGTAATCTTTTATTTTTATTGGCCAGTCTGAGATATGGCTTTTTTTTTCTTTTTTTTAAGTACTCAATTTATTGAAAATTGCTGAAGTCAAGGAACTTCATATCCATATGGGGTTGTAGTTTCTACCACTTCTCCAAATGTACTGGAAAGGGCTGCACCCTTCAGGCCTTCTAAAACAGGCAGATGGCTGTGGAGACAGAAATCCCTGACAAGCAAAGTGTTCCAGACCATTACACCATCCAGTCAACTTGTTCTACAATAGGATACTTTATGGATTCACTGGGGATCTGGGTTTCAGAGTTTGCCACTATTGTGAGCGGTCCAAGAACAGCGTTTTGAACCAAGCCCTCGGGTTATGAATGCAATATGGCTTTTTCTTTGCAACACTGCCTAGAAGGTCAGCATCCCGGAGTCGCCTCTTCACTGTTGGGACTGATGTTTTGTGGGTACTATTTAATGAAGCTGCCAGTTGAGGACCTGTGAGGCGTCTGTTTCTCAAACTAGACACTCAAATGTATTTGTCCTCTTGCTCAGTTGTGCACAGGGCCTCCCACTCCTCTTTCTATTCTTGTTAGAGCCAGTTTGCGCTGTTCTGTGAAGGGAGTAGTACACAGCGTTGTACGAGATCTTCAGTTTCTTGGCAATTTCTCGCATGGAATAGCCTTCATTTCTCAGAACAGGAATAGACTATTTCAGAATAACATTTTATTTATTTATTATTATTATTTTTGTAGGGGGTAGATCAGCTTTAATATTGCAGATAGATTGTAACTTCCATCAATGTAATTGTCTGCATCACTTCCAATCCCCCATATGTTTTTTTTCTCGCATATACATATATATATACATACATATATACACATACATTTCCTTTTTAAAAATATATTTCCCTTTATTACTTTACAACCCCACCACCCCTTCCCTAATTGGAGCAAACTAGTGAACAACAATGCTTAGGCCTCTAATTCCAGCTTATACATACTATATACATTTTATGGACACAGTCAATTTTACAATAATTATATTTTGTTCTTTTTTACTCCTGAACTTCCTCTACCCTCAACCTCTCCGATCATTTTCATGATGTCCATCCGGTTTGCTTCTATATGCCATATCTTTCTAACTGTGCTCTTTCACAAAAGTTCTCAATCTATTACCTATATACTTATTATGGACACAGTATGCTTACATTATTAGTTAACTTGTTGTTATTAGTTGTTGTTAGTTGTTATTAGTCCCATCCTTCAACTCCATTCAACACCACCCATCTATCTCTTAACACCATCCATATTGGATTTCTATTTGCCATATATTTTTCAACAAAAGTTCTAAACCCTTCTATTATCATTGACTATGACTTTTCAGATCACCCAGTAGTGCTATCTGCAGGGTTAGCGCCAGGTAAATATTGCAATCCTTCAGCCATTCCTGGACCTGTGACCAAAAACAAGCCACAAATGGACAGTACCAAAACAAATGATCTAATGATTCTGTCTCTTCGCAGCAAAATCTGCAGAGCTGGGAAGATTGTATCCCCCATATAAATAACATTATATTGGTAGCAAGAATTTTGTATAATAATTTAAATTGAAAGATTCTAAGTTTTGAATCCGGCGTCGTTTTGCGTATCAGTTCACAATGCCATGGAATCGGTACGTCAAAAATCTCTTCCCAACTATTTTGCAATCTATACGGGTCAGCTGTAAATCTTTTGGTTCTTAAATGAAACTTGTATACTTTTTATTTATCACAATTTTCTTTAACCAATTATGTTCTTTAAAGCAGGGCCAACAGACAAGTTCCTTACTTTTTCCCCCTTCCACTTTCCTCTTCCATTTTTGCAGTAATGCTGCAATTATTTGGTTGTAAGTTTGGGTAGAGCAGACATTTCCATATGTTTTTGTTAGCTGCATGTGCGATATAACTCCACCAGTCCTACCTATGATATCATTTACGAAGATTATACCTTTTTTAAAACATTTTTTCAAAAAATACTGGCTTTTTATCAATTACATTTTTTTGTCATTTAGAAGACGCTCTTATCCAGAGCGACTTACAGTTAGTGAGTACATAAAACATTTTTTTTTTCATACTGGCACCCTGTGGGAAGCTCAGTGTTCAACACCATAGTGCCCTCCAAGCTCATCACTAAGCTCAGGACCCTGGGACTGAGCATCTCCTCCTGCAACTGGATCCTGGACTTCCTGACGGGCCTTCCCCAGGTGGTGAGTGTAGGCATCAATACATCTGCCATGCTAACCCTCAACACAAGGACCCCTAAGGGGTGCGTGCTTAGTCCCCTCCTGTACTCCCTGTTCACCCACGACTGCATGGCCGTGCACAACTTCAACACCATCATTAAGTTTGCTGACGACACAACAGTGGTAGGCCTGATCACCAATGTCGATGAGACAACCTATAGGGAGGAGGTCAGTGACCTGGAAGTGTGGTGCCAGGACAACAACCTCAACATCAGCAAAGCAAAGGAGCTGATCGTGGACTACAGGAAACGAAGGGCAGAGCACGCCCCCATCCACATCGATGGGGCAGTAGTGGAGCAGGTCGAGAGCTTCAAGTTCCTCGGTGTCCACATCACTAAGGAATTAACATGATCCACACACACCAACACAGTCGTTAAGAATGCACGACAACGCCTCTTCCCCCTCAGGAGGCTGAGAAGATTTGGCATGGGCCCTCAGATCCTCAAAGTTCTACAGCTGCACTATTGAGAGCATCTTGACTGGCTGCATCACCGCTTGGTATGGCAACTGCTTGGCATCCGACCACAAGGTGCTACAGAGGGTAGTGTGTACCTCCCAGTACATCACTGGGGCCGAGCTCCGTTCCATCCAGGACCTCTATACCAGGCAGTGTCAAAGGAAGGCCCTAAAAAAAATTCAAAGACTCCAGCCTCCCAAGTCATAAACTGTTCTCTCTGCTACCGCACGGCAAGAAGTACCGATGCACCAAGTCTGGTACCAACAGGACTTATCAATACTTATTGTGTATTTATTCCTTGTTATTATTTTTCTATTGTTCTATTTTTCTCTCAGCATTGTTGGGAAGGGCCCGTAAGTGAAAATTTCACTGGTTTGTTTACAAAGCGTGTGCTCCTGTAAGTCGCTCTGGATTACAGGCTGTATCACAACCGGCCGTAATTGGGAGTCCCATAGGGCGGCGCACAATTGGCCCAGCGTCGTCCGGGTTTGGCCGGTGTAGGCCGTCATTGTAAATAAGAATTTGTTCTTAACTGACTTGTCTAGTTAAATAAAGGTTAAGTAAAATAAAAATAAAAGCGTCTGCTAAATGACTAAAATGTAAATGTATTTAAAGGTATAACATCGATTCATATCTGATGTGGATTATAAACAACAGCATATTTGGTGTCTAGTGTGTGAGCCTACTATCCTCCTTATATGGTGTCTAGTGTGTGTGCCTACTATCCTCCTTATATGGTGTCTAGTGTGTGAGCCTACTATCCTCCTTATATGGTGTCTAGTGTGTGTGCCTACTATCCTCCTTATATGGTGTCTAGTGTGTGTGCCTACTATCCTCCTTATATGGTGTCTAGTGTGTGTGCCTACTATCCTCCTTATATGGTGTCTAGTGTGTGTGCCTACTATCCTCCTTATATGGTGTCTAGTGTGTGTGCCTACTATCCTCCTTATATGGTGTCTAGTGTGTGAGCCTACTATCCTCCTTATATGGTGTCTAGTGTGTGTGCCTACTATCCTCCTTATATGGTGTCTAGTGTGTGAGCCTACTATCCTCCTTATATGGTGTCTAGTGTGTGTGCCTACTATCCTCCTTATATGGTGTGGAAGTGGTTCATCAGGTTACAACATGTTCATCACACAAGTTACTTCAGAAATGGACTGTTATCTTCTTAGAATGGCATTCTTTTCCCCTGTCTCTCCCTGCCTTACCTCATCTGCTTTGTCCTCTCTCTCTGTGTCGCTGTGTTTGTGTGTCTGTCTGTCTCTGTGTATGTCCATTCCTCTTAGTCCCCTATCTTTTGTCCTTTCCCCTTCATCTGAACTATCCCCATCTTGTCCCTTTTAATAATGTACATTTCACAGTCCCACCATGTCTAATTAGTTAGGGTCAGAACAGAATAGTGAAGAGTTGTACTTCTGTCTTCCTGTAGGGACGGAGTGGAGGTGCTGCTGACAGACTGTTCTGTTCCATCTGAGGAGTTTGCCTATGGACGTTCCAAGATCTTCATCAGGAACCCCAGAACGGTAGAATGACATTGCATAAGCACGCCCAGTTGACCTGGAACCTGTCACTATCGCTGATAGTATTAACAGTACTACTTTATGTTTTTTTTACGTTAGATTTAGAAAGAGGGTTTACTGCCAAGGATGTGAAATAACTTTGAAAAGAGCAGCATGCTCTGTAACTGGCATTTTTCCAGTTTTATAAGTACGGAAGTCGTAAATTTAGCCATAGATCATAGATGTGAGGAGACTTGGATGTATTCATATACAGTATGGCTAATGCCATAATCCAGTGGGCTCATGCTGTTATGTTTGACTGCATTAAAAGGCTTCTGAAAGCAGGAAGTCGTGCTCTGCTGAGCCCCTCTCTACTAATTACAACACTTAACCAACATTCTGGAACATTCTGAAAACACATGGTTTCATTTATCAATTCTAGGGCTGACCCCATTTAGTCGACTAGTCGATTGTTTGGTCGATAGGCTATTGGTGGAACAAAAAATTATGGCACATGAGACACCTGTCTGATTCATGCCTGTCTGAGTGGACTAATCCATTGCGGAGGCCGTGGCGATGGCACACCAATATCACCAGTAGTACATTTACCGTTAATTAACATAATTTCTCATCTACAATGTTTGTTTGGTTACGGTAATTTCTGTTAATGCATTCAATATATTATTGTTACAGTCTTACTGTTGTCATTGTAGGAGTGGACACGTTGTTTGCAAGAGCGCACAACCTAGGCTACACTTGTGAGGAAAAACGTTTTGGTCTGTGAATTTTGTTTGGAGCGCTCCTGTCAATCTTGAGTAAAGACACGCACCTGATTACGCATAGAAGTAGGCCTAGGCTACCTGGCCTGCATGCAAATGTAGGTCTATAAATGTGCCCATTTACCATCACTGTGGAGCTTCTCAAAGTATTTTTTGTCTTTGCCTCAAACAGCAAGTAAAATAAGTCTGTTTTTACATCCATTGATAATGACAATAGTTTCTCAACGTAGCCTATTTGAAAAATCTTTCCAACTCTCTCCCTTTCGATAACCACTCAACATGAAAAGTAACATGCTTGGATCCGGTGGAAACGTCATAAAATAGGCCTACCTGATTACTTCTTATCCCTTGCACAAATAGCCTACCACTATGTCTGTCTTTCCGGAGCTCACTGACATTCTGAGGTCCCAGAATATTTTATACAGTGTTGCAAGTTTGCTAGCAAGAGCTTCGGGTGGACCAAGTTGATACAATGTTTCAAGTTCCTTGCAGACAGGCCATGCGTAGCCAATGTTATTTATAGGATATTTATTTTTATCCGGATATTTTCTACCTGCGGGCTGCACTGTTTTTATTTGTTGGCTTAACGTAGGCAATTGTTACATATTAGCAATGGCAATAAAAGTTACTTTTAGATTTGTATCAATTTCATTTATATAGAATTTTGATTTTGAGATATGAAGACTACATTATAAATGAAACTGTTCCACAAAAATGTGCATATGAAAATCATAACTGGCACGCAGATCAGTAAAAATGGTACGATAACTTGGCAATCCAAATGGAAAAGGTTGCCGACCGCTGGTGTAGCCTATTACTGGCAACTTCAGGAACCAGCAGCCGCGGGAGGAGGAGGAGGAGGAGGAGGAGGAGGAGGAGGGGGGTCGGGTCGGGTCGGGAACAGGTTTTTTTCTTCTGGTTAAGCTATATTGATCTCTAGCTCCCTCTAGTAATTTGTGTCTTAATTTGTATTTGCAGTGCTTAAAGAATCGGACAAGCTCAGTAGCCTACATATAGTTGATTTTATTCAAACAGGGTGAGTCTATATATGGAAAAATAAACGTTTTAAAATTTGACCAAACAATTGGTCGAAAGGACGGATGAATCTCGGTCGACCAATATTTTTTTTAGTTGGTGACAGCCCTAATCAATTCTATCCATTATACGGCGACGCAGTCAGGACCATGGGAAAAAATGAACATTTAGGCCTATTTTCCATGGTAGCATGGGCTTTTAAGAACATGCAGTGGTGGGTGGAACAATGGACTCTTGTCAGTCCAGGAGCCAGTCTAAACAAAGCTATTAAAGCATGATCTCATATGGGTGTGCCTTTATCCTTGATCTACTGTACCTTCTTACCAGGTTAGCTAAGTATCTCCATCTCTGTTGTACAGTGAAGCTACAGTTCAATCAGGGTGGTGGTAGGGTGGGGACTAGTCTAGGTCACTAAACTCTCATCCCCTAGGTCTCTGTCTGCAACGGTCTTTGTGGTGGAGAATGTGTTTGGGCAGCTATAGAAGCTCTTATCATTCTAAAGATTTTGTGCTGTCTGCAAAACCACACAATATTGTCCCAAAATGACATCCTGTCTCAATTAAATTAAATTAATTAAAATGTCCTCTCATTCCTAAATTGTACAGACTATGCTGATGTTCTTAGTATCCTAGTACATCTTCATGTTCCTATCATCCTCTTGATGCCCTCTTCCTGTGTCCCCAGCTGTTCACTCTGGAGGAGAGGAGGAGGGCATGTCTGGAGGACCTGGCAACCCTGATCCAGAAGATCTACCGGGGGTGGAAGTCTCGTACTCACTTCCTGCTGCTGAAGAAGAGCCAGGTGGTGGTGGCAGCCTGGTACCGCAGATATGCGGTGAGTTAGCTTGTCTCAACTATGCACACACACGCACATACAGAACTTCATACCGGTTGAAATGTTTAAGATATGAGTGCATCCGTCTGTGGGAGCCCAATCTGATCCAAATGTAGCATGCATCGGTCAGAAAATCAATTCAAATGTAACAATACCTCATCTTTTGTTACAACTGCGTCCTCTCTTTCATGTAAGCATGTTGACAGTCATTGGTCTACAAGTTATTTTGCATGCTGAACAACCCTTGGTAATATCAGTAGCTTAGTCAAACTGCGCGCTGTGCACAGCTTCACTCTCTGACCAATGAGAGGTAGGCCTATTCTTGATCTGGTACATCTGCATGTCACCTTCAGCATTCAAATGTTTGTAAAATGGCTTTTGCAATATTAGGCTTTATTAGTTGAGTGACAACCAATGTAATTTTCTAGGTTATTTTGATCAAATGCGCTGTTGAAAATAAAGGTAGCATAAGCTATCGCCGGAGACACAACTCTCATCTGGCTATAGGTAGGCTACATGCTGATCGGGGCTTAGGCTACATTAGATTTTATTTTGATTGTTCAGGTTGACTATCAGCAGTAGTTTTGGTAGTTTTGCTTGAAACAAACAGTGTATATGGTCATTTTTAGATATAGTTGATCATTTCTCATAATAAGGACATTTTAAATTTTAGTCATTTAGCAGACGCTCTTATCCAGAGCGACTTACAGTTTAGTGAGTGCATACATTTTCATACTGGACAAAAATTACTTTTGCTACCCGCACTGCATGATCGAAGCAGGAGAAGAAGAGAAGCTCACTCCAACACTTAGTTTTCAAAACGGTCGAAACCATTTGATTATGAGACAGGGGTGAAATCCAAAGTTGTGCTATATATTCATTGGCTATGTCAATGGCTATAACTGATAGTGGGGTGGTAGAGGCCCAGTTTCCCTTATGGCTCAGGTGTCTATATACATCATAGACATATACATATTTTACACACAGACAGACAGACACAGACAGACACACAGACAGACACACAGACAGACACACAGACAGACACACAGACAGACACACAGACAGACACACAGACAGACACACAGACAGACACAGACAGACAGACAGTGTCTGTCTGTGTCTCTGTCTGTCTGTCTGTCTGTAAAATATGTATATGTCTATGATGAGATTTTAATTTAAAATGGAAATTAATTAATCCGAATCGCACCGAATTGTTTAAAACTAAAACCTTTCTTTCCTGTATCATATCGGAGCCCGTGTATCTAGATGCGTATCGAATCGTCTTGAAAGGAAAATGTGCACATGCCTAATATGGTAGCTATCGAGCTTAGATGTCTGTGTTTCGAACGTACTTATTGTCAATTGAGCTCAGGGTTTTTTGCCTTCTCCTGTTGCAGCAACAAAATAAATATCAGAAGATCAAGAGTGCTACACTAGTGATGCAGTCCTTCATCAGAGGGTGGAAGGTATGTCCATGTCCACATACCAGTCAAACACTATAAGAAAGCATGTTTTTCTGTGATAACGCTGTTGTAAAGGCATGTTTAAAAACAATAGTTTTTCTTCAGGCCCGCAACATCTTGCGGCAGCTGAAATACGAGATGAGATGCAAGGAGGCTGTGACTACCATTGCAGCGTACTGGCACGGGAATCAGGTACTCGCTCAAACACTACCTGATGTCAACATAATGATTAGACAATGTAAAGACATGTATAGAATGAAGATATTGGGAGCTCTTGATTATGGACATCCACTGCCTTTTGCTTTTACAAGGTTTGTCTGCCATAAAGCCAGGTAAGGAAATACTATATTATAAGACATGGCTCTGCTCAGGTCTCCCAGCTATACTAAAAGCTAAACTAGAGCAATTTCAAAGCTTTTTCCTCTTTAGTCTTCTTCTACTGTCGCTGATCTTACCACCGCTGCTTTTCTCACACTCTTTTTCACTATCTTCCCCCCTCTCTCTAATTCTTCCCTCCTAACCTCACTCTCCTCCCTCCATCCTTCCACCCTCCCGGCCACCCCCAGGCTCGGATGGAGCTGCGGCGCTTAAAGACGGAGGCGCGGAATAAGCGTGCTGTGTCTGTCATATGGGCATACTGGCAGGGGACCAAGGTATTTAAGCCGGTTGCCATTGTCGTGTTTTGCCATCCCAGCTGTCCGTCATCCCCCATGTCCCACCCCTCCCCTTGAAACTGACCAATTGAATGGCTCCTCCTCGTCCCGCCGTTGTCACTTTGGTCCACTAACGTCCCTTACCAGTGTCTGGTGTTTGTAACTCATCTGTTTTATTGACCCTTTAATAGGTGTCATTTGGGGGATACTGGGCGGCTAACCTTATACCACTAACATCTATTTACCCTTCAACTTAAAAACCTCTGTTTGCTAGTCCTCTGTTACTGCTATGGTGCCTTCCTTACATTCTCCCTTTAGGAACAACAGCAAGTCCCACAACACAATACTCCTTTCCATTCCCTTGTCTATGTCTGTTGTTTTCTTGATGTTTGTCATTGCATTCCTCTGTAATCTGTTTTAATGAGAAACATGACGGATAGTACATGATAATGTACGTACAGTATCCAATCAGAATGAATATCATGTTTTCACTTTGATGTAATAATTCTGAGGACTGTGCTGAGAATAGACTGTATTCCATGTGCCACTACAGAAACACACAGAGCAGGGTTAGAAATTCAAATTCCAATTATCTTCAATGCTTTTCAATGAGGAAAATTTGGAATTGGAATTTGGTTTACTTACTGAATTGACTGGAATTTAAATGGAATTGGCCACAACCCTGATAGAGATCCACTGATCATATAGCCTAATGGTCATAGTACATACCACCATTAGCACTTTATTGACTTTTAAAGTGCTATATGTTTTAGAGGCCACATATAATCCTTTAAAACAGGCCATGCACAACATGTCATGTTTTATGGGCATTTAACAACAACAAGGTTGCAGATCAACCCTTTCCTGCTATCCATTGAAAAATAACCTTTAAAACTATTTTGTAACTCTGCATGATCTTATCTAAAGGCATTACAGCCACACTCACCAGATAATCATCAAAGGCCTTGTATTGCCACATGTTGCATGACCAAAGCAGTCGCGTGTGGCTTAATTTATCGACTAATTGGCCCATCTGATTGGTGGATCTAGTCTAGTTTCTTAGTCTGGGCAAGGCCCACTGTACTGGCACTGAATCAGGCTATCAGAGTGGCGTCAGTGAGTTATGTGAGACCATGCCAAGTTCTAATGGGGTATCAAATGGCCATATGCAGTAGTCACAAAGTTTAATGAATATAATCGATCAGATACTATACTGTATACAATTAACTTCTGTCTACATCAGGAAAACCTGGACTTTTGTACTAATGTTGCTAGTTCATCAAATCAAGCTTTATTTATACAGCACATTTCAGACATGGAATGCAATGCAATGTGCGTCACAGGAAAAAACTAATAAAAACTGAAATATTTACTACACAACAAACATAACAGGATAAAAAACAAAAGAATAACAACAACTGAATGACTGAAAAGCAACCTAAGGAAAAGCAAAGCTAAAAAGGTGTGTTTTAAGATCTCTTTTTAATATTTCCACAGTTTCGTCTCCCCTCAGGTTCTCTGGCAGGCTGTTGCAGAGGCTAGGGGCATAATAACTAAAGGCTGCCTCCATGCCTTTTGGTCTTAGGCTTTAGGATAGTTAAAAGGCCAGTGCCAGAAGACCTGAGGGACCTACTGGGTACATAATTTAAAAGCATGTCTGACATGTATTGGGGTGTACAATCGTGGATTGATTTAAAAAACAATAGAAGAATCTTTAAATTAATTCAAAAACTCACAGGCAGCCAGTGCAAAGACCTTAAAACCGGTGTAATGTGTGTTCTCCGTCTGGTCTTGGTCAGTACCCGTGCTGCAGCATTCTGTATGTTTTGCAGTTGACCAATGGCTTTCTTGGAGAGCATCACAGCAGTCAAGCCTGCTTGTAATAAAAGCATGGATGAGTCTCTCTGTATCAGCCTGAGAGAGAAACGGCTGCACCTTGGCAATGTTCCTCAGGTGGTGACATTAGGTCACATTCCTAATGTGTGATTCAAAATTGAGTTCAGAATCTAAAGTAACACCTAGGTTTTTTACCTGGTGTTTTATCTTTATTGACCGTGAATTAAACATATATAAACATATATAAACTGAACAGTACCAGACCCAAAATTGAACCTTGTGGAATGCCACGTGATATGTATTTTCTCTGAGTTATGTTCACCAAGGGTGACAAACTCTTGACTGGTTAAATAGGTCCGAAACCAATTTAGAACTGGACCGGAGAGGCCAACCCACCTCTCCAGTCTGTCCTAAAGAACATAATTTTCAACAGTGTCAAATGCAGCACTTAAATCCAAGAATACAAGGACAGAGAGCTGTTTGGCGTCTGTGTTGTTTCTAAGATAATTTACCACTTTAACTAAGGCAGTCTCTGTGTTGTTGTGGGCACAAAAAACTGATTGACATTTATTTTAAATGCAGTTGGCATTTTAAAAAAATCATTTGGCTGTTTGAAAACCAATTTCTCCAGAATTTTGCTTAAGAATGGAAGGTTGGAGATTGGCCAAAAATTGCTAAGAGCTGAAGAATCTAGAATATTTTTCTTCAGAAGGGGTTTCACCATAGCAGTTTTTAGTGCAGTGGGGAAAGTGCCTATGAACAGGGAGTGATTAACAATAGCTTGCACTTCTTCAGATATGCAATTAAATGTGGTTTTGAAGAAGAAGGTGGTGGGGATAGGATCGAGAAGGCAGGTAGAAGGCTTAAGTTGTGATATCACTTTCCTGAGCATGTCTGTGTCAACCAGGGAAAATAAATCCATAGTGCCTTTGCGTGGTAGGCTAGGGAACATATCATCAAACTTCTCATCAGGTCTTGCTTGATTGATACCCAGCCTAATGTTCGTTATCTTATCTCTGAAATATGCTGCAAACTCATCACATTTAGATGTGGAGGAAAGTTCACATAGGTTTGCGGGGGTAGGATTTATCAGGCTATCAATGATCGGGAAGACCCCTGTCGAATTATTCTGTTTATTAGTGATCACTGTCATTAGCTCCAACGGGTAGCTAATGTTTTCCTCCATTGTCTTAATCTTTTAATCTTTCTGCTACTTCATTGCCGGGTAGGCTACATATTTCTGTCTGTCTGCTTCTTATTTCTACCAACACCAATCCCAATGGGTATATTCCTCCCAAAACACAATAAACCCAACCCCACCACTTCCCCAGGCTCGGCGAGAACTGCGGCATCTAAAGAAGGAGGCGCAAGAAAAGCACGCTGTGTCTGTCATTTGGGCCGGCTGGCAGGGGACCAAGGTATTTGGGAAGCAGCCTGTTAACTATATCCATCCATATCCCGCTGCCCGCCCGCCTGCCATTTTCCCATTTCTCCATCAGATCCAACCAGACAGATGCCAGACCCCTGCATTAGCTAAACAATGGTCTGGAGAGACTACGAATGTCTCTCTAGCTATCCTTCCCATTACCACCACCCATCCCATCTATATTGCATGACAAGGTGCCATACGAACCCCTCATCCAATGTCACATTGCATGCTAAAACAGAATCGGGAGGAGGGGGTCTCATTTAGCCTACTGGACTGGCGCAAGACCCCTAAACACCCATGCTGGCTCTTTCAGCCTAGCTAGCTGCTATTTAGTCTTTAGTGGTTTAATGGAAGATATCTAGAGATGGATGGCTGGAGTTTTGGTTAACCTTGGCTCTGGTAGATAATAGACAGGCCTGGGCACTAGGGGAAAGGGTGGGGGAGGGTTGGGGTAAGGGTGAATATACAGTCACTTAAGCCTCTTTGCTGCGCAGCCTGATGGATTATAGCTGATCCAGACTGACACCGGGAGAGGAAGGCGGGTGAGGAAGGCGGGGGATGGCAGGGGGGGATGTTGCCACGCACTTGACTGGCATCACACACACAGTGTCTGGAACCTTGGATGAACCCTGCCCTACCCCAAACCATCAACACACTCACACTCCGCTATCCTGGCATCGCTTTCTCCTCCCTTGTTACCAAAGGTCAGGATGTTTGGGTGTGTTGTGTTTCTTATCCTCCCTGAGGCCCATGCCTCACCTTTTACAACCTCTATCTGCAGGATGTCTGCTCTCTCTCTCTCTCTCTCTGCATGCTGTTCTCATCATAAGTTGCATGCTACGCCTCTTTGCTTGCTGATTCCTTGAGGCTTGCAGTGATTTTTATTTCAGTGTGCAATGTATGGAACCTTGGAGAGACCTCCGGACTGACTTGTGTTACCTTTAACGTTGTACTTGGCTCCTGGCCAACAGAGACATGTCTGTTTCAATCTAAAAGGCTCTAGTCAATGTCGATGTACAGTACATAATCAAACTACACTATTATTATAATGTCTATTTCATGATAATTGCATTCTTCCCATAGTGGGTTAAATCGTCTTCAGGATCTTGGTAACTAGACAGGGCTCTTGTGTGACGGGTGTCCTTACACAGGCCAGTATCTCTTCCTCCATATCAGTCTCTTATTATTCCCTCCTTTCAATCTTTCCTTCCTTCCCTCTCTTTCCTCCCTTCTTCCCAAAAGGCACGCAGGGAGCTGAGGAGCCTGAAGGAGGAGGCCAGGCGTAAGCACGCCGTCGCCGTCATTTGGGCCTACTGGCTGGGACTCCAGGTATATCTGCCCAGCCTACCCTACCCTCCAGCCACCCTTCTAACCTAACCAGCCACTCCTTTCTACCCTAACCAGCCACCCCTTACACTGCCAAGACACTCCCTCTTACCCTCTCAGCCACTCCCCTGTCTTTGGTGTTGGAGGGGTAGGCATACTTCACATAACCAGCATGCAGCCAGCCTCAGCCTGTCAAAAACTTGGGAGCCCCCTGGACCAACGACACAGTGATGACACAGTTCATGCATGCGAGCTCCAGAGTGACTGATTTGATATCTGGGCAGTCCAGTACCAAAAGATATGCCCTCCTACCTTCCTTCCCCTCCTGTATCCCTGCAGTGACACACATTACGTTCCACGTCCAGTGGTTAGAGGATTAAGGCGTACCGTGAGGTGTAATGTATGTCTCTCCCACTCTTTCCATGAGTCCAGCAGGGCTTTAGATAAGCTGGCTATGGCTGGTTATAATTGATTCACAGATGCTCTTTATATTTTTTTATTTTATGTTTCTGCTCGTTCCTGAATACTGCAGCCTCTTAACAGAGAGGTCAAAGACACTACTGACCCTGACTGACATGGATGTCTGTCTGTCTCTGTGTCAGTCTGTCTCTCTGTGCATGATAAGCTGTCTAACCCTCTACATTTCTTGTTGTCTGATGCTATATCTACTCCATTCTTCAGTCATTTTCACATGTATTATTGTAGTCTGAGTGGCCCCAATCCTCTCATCACATTAATTGACTGCACAATGTGCACGTCACCTTTGCGCATCAGAGCAGCTCTCAGAACCTGTTTACGATTCATTGACTCCATTCAGTGTGATTTAAATTGACCACCTCATCAATTAACTATGTAACATCTCATTTTCAGCAAAACCATTTAGGAGAAAATTCCATTCTGAATGAAGTTGAGTTGAGTGCTCAACAGATGTACCTAGAAGCTTTTCCCTCCCATTGTTTGTATGATATTGCTTGGGTTCATTGTAACTAACCACATCTGCCTGTTCTAGTTATCACCACTGTAATCTCTTCTCTATTGGCCCCATGCCTCAAATCAGATGACTATGGTGATGGATGATTGACGGCCAGTTGTCTCCTTGCTTACAGGTCCGCCGGGAGTACAGGAAGTTCTTTAGGGCCAACGCTGGAAAGAAAATCTACGACTTCACCATCCAGAGAATCGTAAGTAGAAGCATGAATGTAGCCTGGTCCCAGATCTATTAGTGCGGTCTTGCCAAGTTGGCAAGTCCACACAATCAGATCTAGGACAAGTCTAGAATGAATGAGTCGTCTATCCCTTTAACATTTAACATTTTAGTCATTTAGCAGACGCTCTTATCCAGAGCGACTTACAGTTAGTGAGTGCATACATTTTTGAATACTTTAAGCACTGATTAATAGTGTCCATCTGAATCACTAAGGGACGGTTTCCCGGACACAGATTAAGCCTAGACCTGGAGTAAAAATCACATTAAATGGAGAATCTCCATTGAACATGCTTCCCGGATTAGGCTTGAACTTTGTCCGGGAAACCAGCGTTATATGTTCCTGAAGGTCAACAGTAATCCAAGTCTGAAAGGGATGTATTGAATATATGCCTGTCTCCCTCCCTCCCTCCAGATGCAGAAGTACTTCCTTGGTCTGAAGACCACCACTATGTCCCCCATGGACAACACCTGGCCGGCCCGGCCTTATGGCTTCCTGGAGGGAGCTCACACTGAACTCAGGAGGATCTTCCACCTCTGGAGGGTCAGTTAGTTATTATCTTTGGCTGTTCTTTCAAGGGGTCATCACTGATCTTACAGGTTAAAGGGTCAAGTTGTTGTATATGCCACTACCCAGCGGGCAAATCTGGTTGCTAGGATGTCATTATTACCAGATTACAACCTCATTGTAAACTGGTTGTACTGATGTACAACCGGCTTTGCCCGCTGTCTTTATAGCTTACAGTATGAGGGACATTAATACAACAAATTTCCCATGGATTGATGAAGGATCTTTTGAATTATCAGTGCAAGAAATACCGGGGCCAGTTCACCGAGGAGAAGAAGGCTGTGTATGAGGAGAAACTGGAGGCCAGTGAGATCTTCAAGGACAAGAAGGCTCTGTACCCCAGCAGGTATATCATATTTTCCTCTTTGATTCACACATGACATAATGTTTGACGTGAAGATAATGTTGCAAGCTAATTTTACTAGCAGCCATTTTAGCTCCTTTTTCCTGAGTATAATCAATGCATTGCAGTGATTTCCTCTCTGTTGTGTCCTTGGGTCCATGAAAGCGCTATATAAAATGCATTATTATTGTTTCAGTGTGAGCCAGCCTTTCAAAGGAGACTATCTGGAGATCCAGAAGAACCCCAAGTACCAGAAGCTGAAAAGTGCTGTGGAGGAGAAGGTGCTACTGGCTGACTTGGTGAACAAGATCAACAGGGCCAACGGCAAGGCAAGTACCTTTCTCAAAGTACCTTACCTCAGCAAAATCAGCCGTCTCTCTGTCACATTTACGACTGTTAATTTAACTGTACTGAAGCCTGAGGGAGTCAACAGTCTGACAGGCCTGAGCACAGTTCATATGGCTCAAACTCTTCAGAGTCATAGCTTTATTATTAGAGGATGTCTGTAACTATGCTGTACAGTAGTCAAAGGAAAATATTTATATTTCACAGATTCAGCCTACCTATGCTTTTATACCACTATCACTGTATAAATGCTCAGTTTTTGCTATGAATGAGTTTATGCGTGTATAGGTTATTACTTTAAAATTACAATTTTGCCATGTACTTTCTAATTAAATAACTGGTGATTTCTGTACCGTAAAATAATGTTACCAAATTCTTGGCGTATTAAACCTAGTCTGTCCTTGTTACAGGGGTCGCCGAGGCTTTTCCTTCTGACCAAAAGCAACTTTGTCCTGGCTGACCAAAAGACAGGCCAGGTGAAGGCCAGCGTGCCCCTGCCAGACCTCACCAGCGTGTCGGTCAGCACCCAGAGTGACGGCTTCTTCGCCCTCAAGCTCAAAGAGGTGATGGAGGGAGGGAGCCTCACTCCAGCTCCACTGTGATTAAACTTACATATGGACATCATCCATCTAGCGAACACGCAGCGGCCAAAGCTGGTTGAAATGAACCTGCTTTGCTTGCTGCATAAATCCACTGGTTGCAAACTGGTTCTAATGATGTAATTTCAACCAGTTTAGCCCGCTGTGTATCTAGTTATAGTAGTAATGTCCTGATCAATATCTTTTTGTGTAACGTTAAGGGCTAATCATGGAAAGATTGGGTAGGCATATTGATATTGAAATTACTAACACCCCTCTCTGTGTTTTTTTTACCCATAGGGCTCTGCTTCGGCTTCCAAAGGTGACTTCCTGCTGAGCAGTGAGCATCTTATAGAGATCATCACCAAACTCCACCGCATAGGGACCACTGCTGCAGACAGGCACCAGATCAACATCGACATCTCAGACGAGTAAGAACAGGAGACACGTCGCCATGTTGACTTTACATTGCAACGCAATGCTGTTGTCGTTTCCCTTAGTCAAATCCTAGCCTGGTCCCGCTATGGTCATTGTTATGTTTACACAAACAGATCTGGGATCAAGCTAATTCAATCCCAGGATGTGATGTCAGATGGTTTCTTATCCTACTTCCTCTGTCTCCCTGGCAGGTTCCTGGTGCAGTTCAAGCAGGACAAGGTGTGTGTCAAGTTCATCCAGGGGGGACCGAAGAACGGAAACAGTGCTGCCTGCAAACGCAAGAACAACCGCCTACTGGAGGTGTCTGTGCCATCTTCACCATAGAGACGACATAGCCTCCTATAATACTGGGTTGTCATGACAGTTCACAATCAGGCCTAAACTCTACCCCCCAGCCCCCCGCCCCGATGACTGTGCAATTACTCTGCTTTTTGTTGTTATTTGTTCTCTTATATCCTCTATTCAGAATCATTGCATCACTGTAATATTTAACTGCGCTGACACTTTTGGTAGAGCGTGAAAGACCCATAGGATTGCATGACGATAGGGTTATAAGAGAGAGAAAGATGTAAACAAAGAAATAAAGAAGTTACTTTGTTTTACTTGTTTTTAAGGATGTGGGTGAAATAAAGAAGTGCTCTCCTCTTGTCAATGGAGCACAAGATATCTCCAGTCAGATTATGATAACGATGATGATAATGATTGTTGAGCTTGGTAAAGCTAATATGATGGCTGTGTGGTGTGGTATCATAGTCAGCTGTGCCTAGCCGTACCCATATTCAGAGATCTGTAAAGGGCAAAGAAAGAAAGTGGAGACACACCCCTGAACTAGATTTGGGTCATCATCGGCTTATCTGTTTGAGCTCTGAAATGGCAACTCTATAGACCAACGATGACCAGAGAGCTTTCAGGGTTGCTCTAAAGTTTTCTCTGAAAGTTAAACTATGACTGCACTTGTAATGTTCACCTGGGTGAGTTAAAATTAGAAAAGATAATGATGAATAGTCCAAATATTGTTTTCGTTGTGCTTTGCTGACACCTACACACCTTACTATACAGTGGGTGGTCAAGTAGAAGAATGTGATTTGCCAAGTGATCGATTGTCAACCACTTAGTATCCATAATAACTCCAATGTGCCATTCAGCTGGCCCCTACTCTGTGAGGTGCCATGACGTGTTGCATGTATTAGTGTGTAGTCATCTAGTCATGTCTTGGACGCTAACAAAAAAACAAAAAGTTGAATGGTCCGTACTCAGTTTATCATTATAAGTAAATGCCAAAAAAATATGTTGAAAGGGGGGCTTAATCAACCAGGACCAAGACTTTATTTGAAAACACTGCACATGTGATCAATATCTATTTTCTCACTCTCCAGTTGTCCTCAAAGTACTTTACATCTCTAAGCTTTACTCGATATACATGTACAAATAATGATTATACTGTTATCTTTGCTATGTTTAACTGAGCAGTGGAGATCCATATCCTTATAAATGTCAGTACTCCCCCCTATGAAGGATTGTGATAGGCAGGATGGACAGGAAGTTCCCAACCACCACAATAATTGAGATGGACCCCAGGGTTCCCAAGTCTACCTTGATAACTATCCCAGATTCAATGCTGATCAGTCTTTTTTAGAGCCACAAGGCTGCTTGTTTTCAAAGGCCCTCTTGTGTGAAATTGAAGGGAAATGTAACTCTTTGCCTGCAACGCTGCCTAGACTAGGCTACACCATCTCAAGCATCCCTCCTCCATGAGACTAATAAAATAGTAAGAGGAGGCAGCATGGCGACAGACAGTACACAAGATTGAGTCCTACATTATGTGACTGACATTTCTCAAACGCATGCTGTTGAGAGAAACACTCACTCACTATCATACACATCAACTGTACATGCTAAAACATAGACCCAGCATGGATGGAGTATGTACAGATAAATTATAATATCCTTAAGGTAGTTCTCTTATTGTTGTGCTGCAGAAATATTTATATGTTTTTGTCACTGCAATGTGGGCTGTTATATTTTTTGTAGGCCCACTCTGGCTAAAAATAAATGCAGTGTTTTTCTTGGGATTTTGATTATGGCCATATAGTACATTCTTGGGAAGTTTTTTCAGAAATCTAGCAATCACAGCTTCACTGTCTACTCTGCCTGTGTACAAATGTGATATACTTTATACACATGCACAAGCCAATGTCACTTAAGGGATTGCGCTATTTGGAAGTATATTTAATGATATTCTTTATCAGGATGTTTTAGTAGGGGGTTTTGTACTGTTGACTTCAAAGTTAAACCAATGGGTTCTCTGGTGGTGGCAATGTGCAGGTGAAAGCTCAGCCAAACTGCTCTAGATCACATTCCTATAGATTACTGGTGTACCTTTAAAAAAAAAAAACATGTTTACATGTTTTTTGTAATTCCACAGGTGGACTTGAGGAATGATTTGTTGTTTTTCCTTCCACGGGGAAGATGTTGAACTGAGTCGAAGCGTGTTTGTGCATCTCAGTTCTGTACAGTTAGAAATTTCAATGCAGTTTGCTATAACCCTCCTTCTCTCTGTGTTTGTATTTGAAGTAAAAGACGAAAATAGAAAGTTGATGTATGCATTCTTGTTGTGTGCCTAATGTAACCTGTGCTGCGAGACAGAGAACATGGAAGTGTTTCAATAGTCCTCAATGTAACAAATTAACAAGTAATGTTTTTCAAATAAAAAAAGCAATAAATAAATTGACTACTTTGTGATTGTTGGTTATGATAGAGTGGAAGCAGATGTTCTTGAGTTCAGTTTATGGTCTCTTTATGGGGGGGAGGCATACACAAACATGTTAACTGTATCTTATATCAAATTGTATTTGTCACATGCGCTGAATACAAAAGGTTTAGACCTTACATTGAAATGTTTACTTACAAGCCCTTAACCAACAATGCAGTTTCAAGAAACAATACCAAAGAAAATCACAAAAAAATACAATATAAAATACGAAATAAAAGTAACATAACTAAAGAGCAGCAGTAAGAATAACAATAGCGAGGCTATATACAGGGGGTACCGGTACCGAATCAATGTGAGGAGGCACTGGTAAGTCGAGGTAATTGGGGTAATATGTACATATAGGTAGAGTTATTAAAGTGACTATGCATAGATAAACAGAGTAGCAGCAGCGTAAAAGAGGGGTGGGGGCAATGCAAATAGTCTGGGTAGCCATTTGATTAGATGTTCAGGAGTCTTATGGCTTGGGAGTAGAAGCTGTTTGGAAGCCTCTACAACCTTGACTTGGCGCTCCGGTACCGCTTGCCGTGCGGTAGCAGATAGAACAGTCTATGACTAGGGTGGCTGGAGTCTTTGACAATTTTTAGGGCCTTCCTCTGACACCGCCTGGTATAGAGGTCCTTGTTGGCAGGAAGCTTGGCCCCATTGATGTACTGGGCCGTACATACTACCCTCTGTAGTGCCTTGCGGTCGGAGGCCGAGCAGTTGCCATACCAGGCAGTGATGCAACCAGTCAGGATGCTCTCGATGGTTTAGCTGTAGAACCTTTTCAGGATCTGAGGACCGATACCAAATCTTTTCAGTCTCCTTAAGGGGAATAGGTTTTGTCGTGCCCTCTTCACGACTGTCTTGGTGTGCTTGGACCATGTTAGTTTGTTGGTGATGTGGACACCAAGGAACTTGAAGCTCTCAACCTACTCCACTACAGCCCCGTCGATGAGAATGGGGTCGTGCTCGGTCCTCTTCTTTTTCCTGTAGTCCACAATCATCTCCTTTGTCTTGATCACGTTGAGGGTGAGGTTGTTGACCTGGCACCACACGGCCGGGTCTCTGACCTCCTCCCTATAGGTCTTGGCTGATTTCTTTTGATTTTCCCATGATGTCAAGAAAAGAGGCACGTAGGTTGAAGGTAGGCCTTGAAATACATCCACAGGTACACCTCCAATTGATTCAAATGATGTCAATTAGCCTATCAGAAGCTTCTAAAGCCATGACATCATTTTCTGGAATTTTCCAAGCTGTTTAAAGGCACAGTCAACTTCTGACCCACTGGAATTGTGATACAGTGAATTATAAGTGAAATAATCTGTCTGTAAACAATTGGTGGAAAAATGACTTGTGTCATGCACAAAGTAGATGTCCTAACCGACTTGCCAAAACTATAGTTTGTTAACAAGAAATTTGTGGAGTGGTTGAAAAATGAGTTTTAATGACTCCAACCTAAGTGTATGTAAACTGCTGACTTCAACTGTAGGTGTTCCTTTTGTCCAGGTGTGAAAGGGCAGTGTGGAGCGCAATAGAGATTGCATCATCTGTGGATCTGTTGGGGCGATATGCAAATTGTGGGTCTGGGGTTTCTGGGAAAATGGTGTTGATGTGAGCATTGACCAGCCTTTCAAAGCACTTCATGGCTACAGACGTGAGTGCTACGGGTCGGTAGTCATTTAGGCAGGTGACCTTAGTGTTCTTGGGCACAGGGACTATGGTGGTCTGCTTGAAACATGTTGGTATTACAGACTCAGACAGGGAGAGGTTGAAAATGTCAGTGAAGACACTTGCCAGTTGGTCAGCACATGCTCGGAGTACACGTTCTGGTAATCCGTCTGGCCCTGCGGCCTTGTGAATGTTGACCTGTTTAAAGGTCTTACTCACATCGGCTACAGAGAGCGTGATCACACAGTCATCTGGAACAGCTGATGCTCTCATGCATGTTTCAGTGTTACTTGCCTCGAAGCGAGCATAGAAGTAATTTAGCTCGTCTGGTAGGCTCGTGTCACTGAGCAGCTCGCGGCTGTGCTTCCCTTTGTAGTCTGTAATAGTTAGCAAGCCCTGACACATCCGACGAGCGTTGGAGCCAGTGTAGTACGATTTGATCGTAGTCCTGTATTGACGCTTTGCCTGTTTGATGGTTCATCGGAGGGCATAGCGGGATTTCTTATAAGCTTCCGGGTTAGAGTCCCGCTCCTTGAAAGCGTTAGCTCTACCCTTTAGCTCAGTGCGGATGTTGCCTGTAATCCATGACTTTTGGTTGGGGTATGTACGTACAGTCACTGTGGGGACGACATCATCGATGCACTTATTGATGAAGCCAGTGACTGATGTGGTGTACTCCTCAAGTCTGTGCTAGCAAAACAGTCCTGTAGCTTAGCATCTGCTTCATCTGACCACTTATTTATTGACCATGTCACTGGTGCTTCCTGCTTTAGTTTTTGATTGTAAGCAGGAATCAGGAGGATATAATTATGGTCCATCACACAACTCAAGTAATACACTCTTTCTGAACTCTCGAGCTCTTTCTAGACTCCTGTTATGCATGTATTTTCACATCTGGCCATCCACAGTAGGCCTACCCTACAGTACTTAAAGTGAATAGGGCACTCACTGTAAACTCTAACACCACTTCATCCATTAGATCAAACTGAAGTGCTATTTATCACTAGTGTAAAAGGTGAGCTGAGAGAGGCCTTCTCTCTCTTTCAGCTCTCCTGGTACACTGATAGCAAGGGGTGGACAGGCAAGGCCTGTATGTAGGCAGACCAGACCAGGCAGCGACCCAGATGTTTTCCATCACATCTGGAGAGTTGTCCCTGGTTAAATTCCGCGGCTTGGGGAGGCTGCCGGCAGCAGGCCCCTGGGAATAGCCCTTGACAGATTGTGCACAGCACAGATATAAATAGCCCACAATTATGGGCTGTCCTGGACCAAGTTCCCACCGTCTTGAAGTCTTCTGCAGGCTGGGAAAGGATGGCATGGCCTATCCTTCTGTTGAGAAGACAACCAGCACTCTGTGTGTAGGGCTAAAGACAAAGCAGCACATTATGTAGACACATGTAGGCTACATGTGATTGACAGTGGATAAGAAATCAGAGCTCTCAACATAGAAATATAATCTATGAACACCATTGCAATAATTTGATTAATCACCTTATTGTGTATATAGTTTGAGTTTGGTGGTCTCTAAAATACTTAAAATACTTTTGGAACTAAATACCTGCATAATAGTATCACATCAGTGATGCTAATAAATAGACTTATGGGCCCCTCGGGTATTTCTAGGTTTCAGAGTTAAGCCTCTGGCTCCACCTAGTGGAATTTCCGTTAAGGTACAAGCTGAGATTGGCTACCGGTATTCTGTCTCCCCCTACTGGTGGGAAATATTTGCTTATCAAAAAAGTCTGCTAAATCTGTCTGGGGTAGATAGAGAGACGTGCTAGTTTAGAAATTATCATGGCAACACGGTGGGGAATCTGCAGTGCAGGGAAAATCAGCCACGACTTTACAGTAGCTCTGAGGACCCTACCTCACGACGACCACCAGGTAAACGTTATTTGTGATTGGGAATGTGGGTGAATCCTAAAACTTGGTGCTTGGTAAAGTGTATTTTTGAGCAGCCATTTGGTATTATTGTAAAATAATTTAATGAAAGTTTTACTCGTTAGTGACATTAGTGAGAAGAAAACATATATATATATTTTGTAAATAACTCCATTTCCATTTTCTCCATTGATTGCATGTTGTGTAAAACTTTACCGTAATTCTCAAAATACTGGGCCATCAAATATTAATTTATGGTAAGTAAGGCACAATGTGTAATTTCAACAGCCTGACCCTGCCAAATTGAGGAATGTGGTTGAGGAAAGCTAACATAAATGTTGATGGGATTCAAGTAAGAAATTAAAGGTAATTTAGAGTGCTATTACTACTCTAAATACTATTACCATCTAGGACCACTTTGGAAATGAGAGTTTTAAGTGCTATACCCTGGGAATACATTGTACATCTTGTTGTATATATTTTTTACAAAATAAATTATATTCAATTCACCTCTGATTGAAACAATGAAAATTGTTATATTTTTCAGATTGTGGCTGTTGCTGCTCGGAATCTGCAGCATGCCCAAGAGTTTGCCAAAAATCACAACATCCCAAGAGCCTATGGGAGCTATGATGAGCTAGCAAAAGACTCAGACATAGGTGGGTTCTATCATGAAATCCATTAGCCTGGTACAGACCTGGTTAACATTTTTACCTTGACAAAAGATACTGGCCAAAAATCAGCTGTAACCAGAGGACAAAACCTGATAACCTATTTGGTATAGGCTTGTTGCTTTAAATTGACTGGAGCTGTAAACCCATGCTCGTACCCCTATCTCTCTTTGCAGATGTGGTGTATGTGGGAACAATCCACTCTCACCACCTGAGTACAGGTAAGCTCTTCTTGACCTCCCATAAGAACGTACTCATAGAGAAACCCCTGGCCATGAATCTAAGAGAGGTACTGGAGCTCACCAACACAGCCAAGGAGAATGATGTCTTTCTGATGGAGGTACTGTACGGGGGACACCTGACATTTTAAACTTGTCCATACAAGTTTACTCTAAAGCTCCTTCTGATCATATACTTACACATACAGTACATCAACACTGACATATTTAAACTGTGGTATGGTTTTTCCTGAATAATATATGTTGGGCTGACATACAGTACCAGTCAAGATTTGGACACACCTACTCCTTCCAGGGTTTTTCTTTATTTTTTTACTATTTTCTACATTGTAGAATAATAGTGAAGACATCAAAACTATGAAATAACACATGGAATCATGTAGTAACCAAAAACGTGTTAAACAAATCAAAATATATGTTATATATGAGATTCTTCAAAGTAGCCACCCTTTGCCTTGATGACAGCTTTGCACACTCCTGGCATTCTCTCAACCAGCTTCATGAGGTAGTCACCTGGAATGCATTTCAATTAACAGGTGTGCCTTCTTAAAAGTTAATTTGTGGAATTTCTTTCCTTCTTAATGTGTTTGAGCCAATCAGTTGTGTTGTGACAAGGTAGGGGTGGTATACAGAAGATAGCCCTATTTGGTAAAAGACCAAGTCCATATTATGTCAAAAACAGCTCAAATAAGCAAAGAGAAACGACAGTCAATCATTACTTTAAGACATGAAGGTCAGTCAATCCGGAAAATTTCAAGAACTAACTTAAAGTGCAGTCGCAAAAACCATCAAGCACTTTGATGAAACTGGCTCTCAGGAGGACCGCCACAGGAAAGGAAGACCCAGAGTTACCTCTGCTGCAGGGGATAAGTTCATTAGAGTTAACTGCACCTCAGATTGCAGCCCAAATAAATGCTTCACAGAGTTCAAGTAACAGACACATCTCAACATCAATTGTTCAGAGGAGACTGCGTGAATCAGGCCTTCATGGTCGAATTGATGCAAAGAAACCACTACTAAAGGACACCAATAATAATAAGGGACTTGCTTGGGCCAAGAAACACGAGCAATGGACATTAGACCAGTGGAAATCTGTCCTTTGGTCTGATGAGTCCAAATTTGAGATTTTTGTTTCCAACCGCCGTGTCTTTGTTAGACGCAGAGAAGGTGAACTGATGATCTCTGCATGTGTGGTTCCCACCATGAAGCATGGAGGAGGAGGTGTTATGGTGTGGGGGTGCCTTGCTTGTGAAACTGTTGGTGATTTATTTAGAATTCAAGGCACACTTAACCAGCATGGCTACCACAGCATTCTGCAGCAATACGCCATCCAATCTGGTTTGGGCTTAGTGGGACTATCATTTGTTTTTCAACACGACAATGACCCAAAACACACCTCCAGGCTGTGTAAGGGCTATTTGGCACCAAGAAGGAGAGTGATGGAGTGCTGCATCAGATGACCTGGCCTCCACAATCACCCGACCTCAACCCCATTGAGATGGTTTGGGATGAGTTGGACCGCAGAGTGAAGGAAAAGCAGCCAACAAGTGCTCAGCATATGTGGGAACTCCTTCAAGACTGTTGGAAAAGCATTCCTCATGAAGCGCTTGATGGTTTTTGCGACTGCACTTGAAGAAACTTTAAGTTTTCTGAATTGACTGACCTTCATGTCTTTAAAGTAATGATGGACTGTCGTTTTTCTTTGCTTATTTGAGCTGTTCTTGCCATATTATGGACTTGGTCTTTTACCAAGTAGGGCTATCTTCTGTATACCACCCCTGCCTTGTCACAACACAACTGATTGGCTCAAACGCATTAAATCATTCCAGGTGACTACCTCATGAAGCTGGTTGCGAGAATGCCAAGAGTGTGCAAAGCTGTCGTAAAGGCAAAGAGTGGCTACTTTGAAAAATCTGAAATATAAAATATGTTTTCATTTGTTTAACACTTTTTTGGTTACTACAGGATTCCATATGTGTTATTTCATAGTTTTGATGTCTTCACTATTATTCTACAATAGTAAAAATAAAGAAAAATCCTTGAATGAGTAGGTGTGTCCAAACTTTTAACTGGTACTGTACGTGTGTACACTATGTTCTGATGAAATGCAACACAGAAAGTGAAAGCTTCTATGCTAGAGTAGTGAAGCATTCCTCCTATATCCCCCTTCATACACACCAGATAGCCTCTATCGTAAAGCGGTATGGCAGTAGTGAAGCTTTCCTCCTATATCCCCCTTCATACACATCAGATAGCCGCTATCATAGAGCAGTATGGCAGTACGGAAGCATTCCTCCTATATCCCCCTTCATACACACCAGATAGCCTCTATCATAGAGCAGTATGGCAGTAGTAAGACATCCCTCTTATATCTATCTCCCTTATATCTCTCTGTCGCCCAGGCGATCTGGACTCGTTTCTTCCCTGTGTCTGTAGAGGTGGGCAGGCTGCTAGGCCAGGGTGAGGTGGGAGAGGTCCAGATGGTAAGGGCCGACTTGGGAGCCCCCCTCACACACATCCCTCGCCTGGCCCAGAGAGAACTGGGTGGAGGGGCACTACTAGACCTGGGGATCTACTGCCTGCAGTTTGTCTTCATGGTGTTTAATGGGGAGAGACCTGAGTCCATCCAAGCCACGGGACACTGTATTGACACAGGTAATTGGTGGTATTCTGACTTGAGATCCACTTGCTTAACTCACATACCAGAGTCTCCCTTTTCATGTCTCCCACTGAAATAAATAAATGGTTTTGCTATTTCTAAGGCTTTGTATTTGCACCTCCAGGAGTGGATGGAACAGTAGTTTTGGTCTTAAAGTTTTCTGGGTACAGAATGGCTGTGTGCACGTGCTCCATCACGATGATGCTGACAAATGATGCTGTTATCACTGGGACCAAGGGGACCATCAAGGTAGGAATTAGCAGACACACACACACACAGAGGAAATACATAATTCTAACAAGTCACAGCCAGAGGAGGGTAAGGGAAGAACTGCACACTATAATTGATCTAATGATGAAGATTCTGAGTAAATTAAACAAGTTTATGATTTATTGAAGGGCTGACTTGAATGAACATTTCCATAGCCTCCTGAACAACTTCAATAACCTACGTATACTGAACGAAAATATAAACGCGGACAGCTGATGAAATTGTGGGTTTGCACAACCGAAGAATTTATGCACAAACAGTTAGAAACCGTCTCAGGGAAGCTCATCTGCGTGCTCGTCGTCCTCACCAGGGTCTTGACCTGACTGCATGCTCACCTTTGATGGCCACTGGCACACTGGACAAGTGTGCTCTTCATGGATGAATCCCGGTGTCAACTGTACTGGGCAGATGGCAGACAGTGTGTATGGCGTCGTGTGGGCGAGAGGTTTGCTGATGTCAACATTGTGAACAGAGTGCCTCATGGTGGCGGTGGGGTTATGGTATGGGCAGGCATAAGCTACAGACAACAAACACAATAGCATTTTATCGATAGCAATTTGAATGCACTGATACCGTGACGAGATCCTGAGGCCCACTGTCGTCCCATTCATCCACCGCCATCACCTCATGTTTCAGTATTATAATGCATAGCCCCATGTCTCAAGGATCTGGACACAATTCCTGGAAGCTGAAAATGTCCCAGTTCTTCCATGGCCTGCATACTTTTGTCACCCATTGAGCATGTTTGGGATGCTCTGGATCGACGTGTACGACAGCGTGTTCCAGTTCCCGCCAATATCCAGCAACTTCGCACAGCCATTGAAGGGGAGTGGGACAACATTTCACAGGCCACAATCAACAGCCTGATCAACTCTATGCGACGGAGATGTGTCACTCTGCATGAGGCAAATGGTGGTCACACCAGATAATGATTGGTTTTCTGATCCACTCCCCTACTTTTTTTTTTAGGTATCTGTGACCATCAGATGCATATCTGTATTCCCAGTCATGTGAAATCCATAGATTAGAGCCTAATGAATTTATTTCAGTTGACTGATTTCCTTAAATGAACTGTAACTCAGTAAAATCTTTGAAATTGTTACATGCTGCATTTATATTTTTTTTGCTCTGTGCCTTGCAAAAGTATTCATCCCTCTTGGTGTTTTTCCTATTTTGTTGAATTACAACCTGTAATTTAAATGGATTTTTATGTGGTTTCCATGAAATGGACATACACAAAATAGTCCAAATTGGTGAAGTGAAATGAAAAAAATAACTTGTTTCAAACAATTCTAAAAAATAAATAACGGAAAAGTGGTGCGTGCATATGTATTCTGAAGCCCCTAAATAAGATCTGGTACAACCAAATACCTTCAGAAGTCACATAATTAGTTAAATAAAGTCCACCTGTGTGCAATCTAAGTGTCACATGATCTGTCACATGATCTCAGTATATATACACAACCTGTTCTGAAAGGCCCCAGAGTCTGCAACACCACTAAGCAAGGGGCACCACCAAGCAAGCGGCACCATGAAGACCAAGGAGCTCTCCAAACAGGTCAGGGACAAAGTTGTGGAGAAGGACAGACCAGGGTTGGGTTATCAAAGAATATCCAAAACTTTGAACATCCCACGGAGCACCATTAAATCCATTATTAATAAATGGAAAGAATATGTCACCACAACAAACCTGCCAAGAGAGGGCCTCCCACCAAAACTCACAGACCAGGCAAGGAGGGCATTAATCAGAGAGGCAACAAAGAGACCAAAGATAATCCTGAAGGAGCTGCAAAGCTCCACAGCGGAGATTGGAGTATCTGTCTATAGGACCACTTTAAGCTATACACTCCACAGAGCTGGGCTTTACGGAAGAATGGCCAGAAAAAAGCCATTGCTTAAAGAAAAGAATAAGCAAACATGTTTGGTGTTTGCCAAAAGGTATGTGGGAGACTCCCCAAACATATGGAAGAAGGTACTCTGGTCAGATGAGACTAAAATTGAGCTTTTTGGCCATCAAGAAAAACGCTATGTCTGGCGCAAACCCAACACCTCTCATCACCCCGAGAACACCATCCCCACAGTGAAGCATGGTGGTGGCAGCATCATGCTGTGGGGATGTTTTTCATTGGCAAGGACTTGGAAACTGGTCAGAATTGAAGGAATGATGGATGGCGCTAAATACAGGGAAATTCTTGAGGGAGATTTGAGACTGGGATCAAGGTTCACCTTCCAGCAGGACAATGACCCTAAGCATACTGCTAAAGCAACACTTGAGTGGTTTAAGGGGAAACATTTAAATGTCTTGGAATAGCCTAGTCAAAGCCCAGACCTCAATCCAATTGAGAATCTGTGGTATGACTTAAATATTGCTGTACACCAGCGGAACCCATCCAACTTGAAGGAGCTGGAGCAGTTTTGCCTTGAAGAATGGGCAGAAATCCCAGTGGCTAGATGTACCAAGCTTATAGAGACATACCCCAAGAGACTTGCAGCTGTAATTGCTGCAAAAGATGGCTCTACAAAGTATTGACTTTGAATAGTTATGCACGCTCAAGTTTTCAGTATTTTTGTCGTATTTCTTATTTGTGTCACAATTTTTTTTATCTTGCATCTTCAAAGTGGTAGGCATGTTGTGTAAATCAAATGATACAAACCCTCAAAAAATCCATTTTAATTCCAGGCTGTAAGGCAACGAAATAGGAAAAATACCATGGGGGGTGAATACTTTCGCAAGCCACAGTAGTTCATTTGATAAGTTTGAGAGTTTATTTTTCATAGTGTTTGTCAAAGCATGTTTTTGATTAAGCACACCATTTGAGTTTATGTTGGAAGTTTATTAGTATCATCAAACAAGCCTCTCTCTTCAATTCCCTATTGAGAACAACAAAGTGTGACATTGATCAGTCAATCAGTCAATTATAAAGCAATTTTTACATCAGCAGATGTCACAAAGTGCTATACAGAAACCCAGCCTAAAACCCCAAACAGCAAGCAATGCAGATGTAGAAGCACGGTGGCTAGGAAAAACTCCCTAGAAAGGCAGAAACCTAGGAAGAAACCTAGAGAGGAACCAGGCTCTGAGGGGTGGCCAGTCCCCGTCTGGCTGTGCCGGGTGGAGAATTATAACAGTACATGGCCGTTAAGGCCAGATTTTTCTCCAAGATGTTCAAACGTTCATAGATGACCAGCAGGGTCAAATAATAATCACAATGGTTGTAGAGGTTGCAGAGGTTGCAACAGGTCAGGACATCAGGGGTAAATGTCACTTGGCTTTTCATAGCCGGGCATTTAGAGGTTGAAATAGCAGGTACGGAAGAGAGAGAGAGTTGAAAACAGCAGGTCTGGGACAAGGTAGCATGTCCGGTGAACAGGTCAGGGTTCCATAGTCGCAGGCAGAAGAGTTGAAACTGGAGCAGCAGCACGACCAGGTGGCCTGGGGACAGCAAGGAGTCATCAGGCCAGGTAGTCCTGAGGCATGGTCCTAGGGTTCAGGTCCTCCGGGAGGGGAGGGAGAGAGAGAGAATTAGAGGGAGCATACTTAAATTCACACAGGACACTGGATAAGACAGGAGAATAACACCAGATATAACAGACTGACCCCGGCACATAGACTATTGCAGCATAGATACTGGAGGCTGAGACAGGGGGGGTCAAGAGACACTGTGGCCCCGTCCGACGATACCAGGCAGGATATAACCCCACCCACTTTGCCAAAGCACAGCCCCCACACCACCAGAGGGATATCAACAGACCACCAACCTACTACCCTGAGACAAGGCTGAGTATAGCCCACGAAGATCTCCTCCACTGCACAAGCCAGAGGGGGCGACAAACCGGACAGGAAGATCACGTCAGTGACTCAACCCACTCAAGTGACGCACCCCTCCTAGGGACGGCATGGAAAGCACCAGTAAGCCAGTGACTCAGCCCCCGTAGTCCTGTGTAGCTCAGTTGGTAGAGCATGGCGCTTGCAACGCCAGGGTTGTGGGTTCGATCCCCATGGGGAACCAGTATGAAAAAATGTATGCACTCATTAACTGTAAGTCGCTCTGGATAAGAGTGTCTGCTAAAATGCCTAAAATATAAAAATGTAATAGGGTCAGAGGCAGAGAATCCCAATGGAGAGATGGGAAACGGCCAGGCAGAGACAGCAAGGGTGGTTTGTCGCTCCAGTGCCTTTCCGTTCACCTTCGCACCCCTGGGCCAGACTACACTCAATCATAGGACCTACTGAAGAGATGAGTCTTCAGTAAAGACTTAAAGGTTGAGACCGTGTCTGTGTCTCTCACATGGATAGGCAGACCATTCCATAAAAATTGAGCTCTATAGGAGAAGCCCTGCCTCCAGCTGTTTGCTTAGAAATTTTAGGGACAATAAGGAGGCCTGCGTCTTGTGACTGTAGCGTACGTGTATGTATGTATGTACGACAGGACCAAATCGGAGAGATAGGTAGGAGCAAGCCCATGTAATGCTGTGTAGGTTAGCAGTAAAACCCTGCATCATTTTTGGACAAAAAGTTTCTGATTTTTGCAATGTTACGAAGATGGAAAAAAGCTGTCCTTGAAATATTCTTGATATTTTCGTAAAAAGAGAGATCAGGGTCCAGATTAACGCCGAGGTCCTTCACAGTTTCTTTTGAGACGACTGTACAACCATCAAGATTAATTGTCAGATCCAACAGAAGATATCTTTGTTTCTTGGGACCTAGAACTAGCATCTCTGTTTTGTCCGAGTTTAAAAGTAAAAAATGTGCCACCATCCACTTCCTTATGTCTGAAACACAGGCTTCCAGGGTAGGCAATTTTGGGGCTTCACCATGTTTCATCGAAATGTACAGCTGTGTGTTGTCCTCATAGAAATGAAAGTTAACATTGTGTTTCCGAATGACATCACCAAGAGGTAAAATATATAGTGAAAACAATAGTGGTCCTAAAACAGAACGTTAAGGAACACCAAAACTTACAATTGATTTGTCAGAGGACAAACCATCCACAGAGACGAACTGATATCTTTCCGACAGATAAGATCTTAGCCAGGCAAGAACTTGTCCGTGTAGACCAATTAAGGTTTCCAATCTCTCCAAAAGAATGGGGTGATCGATGGTGTCAAAAGCAGCACTAAGGTCTAGGAGCACGAGGACAGATGCAGAGCCTTGGTCTGACGCCATTAAGAGGTCATTTACCACCTTCACGAGTGCAGTCTCAGTGCTATGATGGGGTCTAAAACCAGACTGAAGCGTTTCCTATACATTATTTGTCTTCAGGAAGGCAGTGAGTTGCTGCACAACAGCTTTTTCAAAAAATGTTGAGAGGAATGGGAGATTCGATATAGGCCGATAGTTTTTTACATTTTCTGGGTCAAGGTTTGGCTTTTTCAAGAGAGGCTTTATTACTGCCACCTTTAGTGAGTTTGGTACACATCCAGTTGATAGGGAGCCATTTATTATGTTCAACATAGGAGGGCCAAGCACAGGAAGTAGCTCTTTCAGTAGTTTAGTTGGAATAGGGTCCAGTATGCAGCTTGAAGGTTTAGAGGCCATGACTATTTTCATGAATGTGTCAAGACTTGAGTGTCTCCATTGATCCTAGGTCCTGGCAGTTTTGTGCAGACTCAGGACAGCTGAGCTTTGGAGAAATACTCAGATTCAAAGAGGAGTCTGTAATTTGCTTTTTAATGATCATGATCTTTTCGTCGAAGAAGTTCATGAATTCATCACTGCTGTAGTGAAAGGCATCCTCTCTTGGGGAATGCTGCTTTTTAGTTAGCTTTGCGACAGTATCAAATATAACTTTAGGATTTTTCTTATTCTCCTCAATTAGGCTGGAAAAATAGGATGATCGAGCAGCAGTGAGGGCTCTTCGATATTGCACTGTACTTTCATATCAATGGCTTCAAAGAGAAAATATCATATTATGTGTTGTTTCTATCTGAGGTCCCCAACCACATGTGGTGTCCTACGAGCCTGGAGTTGAATGGAGAGGTGAAGCAATACCCTCTCCCTGAGCCCAGCCTTCCCCTCAACTTCATCCACAGTACTGGGCTGCGCTACGAAGCAGAGGAGGTCAGGCAGTGTATGCTTAAAGGTAGGCTTTACACAAAGCAAAGTGAACCATTGAATATTACAATACACCTTGCTAAAATGAAAATAGAGTTTGCACCAAAACTAGCCCAAGCCGATAGGGGAAATGGTATGGGAATATGCAGGTTTGAGACCGACTACGTTGCAGTCAGAATTACTCATTTACAAATCACCTTGCATCCCAAATAACTGGTCATTATGTGATCAAGGTTAGCGATTATGCACTTTGCCTTGCTCAAACTTACCACCTCAAACATGCTGATTGTCTCCATCAGGACTGAAGGAGAGCTCTGGAATGCCTTGGTCACACTCACACCTTCTCGCCGAGGTCATGGATGAAGCCAGAAGACAGGTGGGAGTGACATATACTCAAGACAACATCCAATGAGATATCATGCGACCCAAGTCCCCCTTTCTCAGTCATGGATGCACTCTCTACTGATGCTAGTCAGTGGTGACTTCGGTCCAATGAATGCTATAGGTTACCCTGTTATGATGGTTAAACTAAGGGGGGCATGCTTGGGGAGACTCCCTCTGATCTGATCTGCCTGGTAATAATGTTTTTTTTTTTTTTTTTTTTACAGCTTGGGTTGTGTCCCAAATGAGTCCTGGTCAAAGTAGTGCACTATAAAGTGAACAGGGTGCCATTTGGGATGCAGACATGGTCTCAGGAGGTTTTAATAACTTATGAGGCTAATGGGCCTATGATGTTTATTTCATGAGGACCAACCCATTAATGGTGAATTTTTGTATGGATATGTGCCAGTTATGTTCAGCTTGTCAGCATCCATCCCCTTTAGTTTGCCGTTTTGCTTGTTTGACCTCAGGCTATTGGCCAGTCACTTAGTAGGTAATAGGTTATAACAGACTACGTGTAACCAAATCAAATCAAATCAAATTGTATTTGTCACATACACGTGTTTAGCAGATGTTATAGCGGGTGTAGCGAAATGCTTGTGCTTCTAGCTCCAACAGTGCAGTAATATCTAACAAGTAATGGAATACCTATGTAAGACAATTCTCTTGGGAGATAATACGGTCGGCATTGCTAGTAAGCGAGAGCATTGATCTCCAGATTGGAGTTGAGTGCAATCCAAAGCCTAAGTTATGTTTTGAATGAGCTTGATTTGTGATTTAATTCAGTTCCCTTTGAATCAGCTGTTGTTTTCTCAAAGAAGAAAAGCATGCACACATTTAAAAACTATACGCTACTTATTATTGTATCTATAAAATGTCTTACACAACTAGCTCATTTTGTTTTGATCACTTTGCACATTTATTTTGGGATTCCACCAATGTAAATGTCATTTGCCTAATGAGGCAAGAGTGGGGAAGGAGAGTAATTTCATTGAAGTGCATTTGTTTCCATGTTTCCTCACCTCTGCTTCTCGATTACCTTTAACCTTTTTCAAAAGCAGACGAGGACAGGACGGAGGAGCATTGAGCAAAACCAATTGAGATTCTCCCAATAAGTGTGCACTTGTTCACTCCCCTGTAAGCAAAATCCATGAGGGGGCGTGTACAAGTGCCATAGAATTAGGAGCCAGGTACATGCCAGCCAGGTGCAGAGCTCGAGACATATAAATGAATATAAATAGGTCAAACGTATTAGTGCCAAAGAATTAGGAATTAGAACAATTTAATAGGATCTCTACTCTTGACTGATTCTAGTGGAGCATGGCAACTGTCAGAAATGGGGAGAAAGAGGCTACCATGTGTAAGATTTAGATCAATTTACTGGATATAAATTCAGAATAAACATTCATAATATTTTAATTGGGATTATTTTATCCTTTGCTATGTAATATTTCAACATTACATAATATTTTGGTATTAATTCATGTTTTTCTCCAACCCTGTTCCCTCCCGCTGAAGTGTAAAAGGGATCCACATCATATCAACCTTGCAACCTACTGGGACATGGGGTGTCTCATCCTGCGAAATGGGTGCTACAGGCATGCTGGGAACATGAGCAAAGATGGAACATGAGCTTTGGGTGGTTGGGTATACCCAGTTGAGGGAGATGGGACTGTATGGAAGGGAGGTTAGCCCCACTGTGACTATACCTGTAAACACACCATGGCTACTCCTGCCTCTAGTAGTAGAAGTGTTGGAGAGACTACGCACAGATAGGGAGGGGTTTGATTCAAATAAAATGTTATTGTCATAGTGAAATGCTTACTTCCGAGCCCATTCCCAACAATGTAGAGTTAAAAAGTTAGACAAATATTTGCTAAATAAAAAAGAAAAGAGTAACACAATAAAAACAATAAGGCTAAAGTTGAAGTCGGAAGTTTACATACACTTAGGTTGGAGTCATTAAAACTTGTTTTTCAACCACTTCACGAATGTCTTGTTAACAAACTATAGTTTTGGCAAGTCGGTTAGGACATCTACTTTATGCATGTCACAAGTAATTTTTCCAACAATTGTTTACAGACAGATTATTTCACTTATAATTCACTGTATCACAATTCCAGTGGGTCAGAAGTTTACATACACTAAGTTGACTGTGCCTTTAAACAGCTTGGAAAATTCCAGTAAATGATGTCATGGCTTTAGAAGCTTCTGATAGGCTAATTGACATCATTTGAGTCAATTGGAGGTGTACCTGTGGATGTATTTCAAGGCATACCTTCAAACTCAGTGCCTCTTTGCTTGACATCATGGGAAAATCAAAAGAAATCAGCCAAGACCTAAGAAATACAATTGTAGACCTCCACAAGTCTGGTTCATCCTTGGGAGACATTTCCAAACGCCTGAAGGTACCACGTTCATCTGTACAAACAATAATACGCAAGTATAAACACCATGGGACCACGCAGCCGTCATACCGCTCAGGAAGGAGACGTGTTCTGTCTCCTAGAGATTAACGTACTTTGGTGCGAAAAGTGCAAATCAATCCCAGAACAACAGCAAAGGACCTTGTGAAGATGCTGGAGGAAACAGGTACAAAAGTATCTATATCCACAGTAAAACGAGTCCTATAACGACATAACCTGAAAGGCCGCTCAGCAAGGAAGAAGCCACTTTCCAAAACCGCCATGGAAAAGCCAGACTACGGTTTGCAACTGCACATGGGGACAAAGATCTTACTTTTTGGAGAAATGTCCTCTGGTCTGATTAAACAAAAATATAACTGTTTAGCCATAATGACCATCATTATGTTTGGAGGAAAAAGGGGGGCCTTGCAAAAATAGAACTGTTTGGCCATAATGACCATCGTTATGTTTGGAGGAAAAAGGGGGCTGCTTGCAAGCTGAACAACACCATCCCAACCGTGAAGCACGGGGGTGGCAGCATCATGCTGTGGGGGTTCCTTGCTGCAGGAGGGATTGGTGCACTTCACAAAATAGATGACATCATGAGGAAGGAAAATTATGTGGATATATTGAAGCAACATCTCAAGACATCAGTCAGGAAGTTAAAGCGTGGTCGCAAATGGGTCTTCCAAATGGACAATGACCCCAATCATACTTCCAAAGTTGTGGCAAAATGGCTTAAGGACAACAACGTCAAGGTATTGGAGTGGCCATCACAAAGCCCTGACCTCAATTCTATAGAAAATGTGTGGGCAGAACTGAAAAAGCGTGTGCGAGCAAGGAGGCCTACAAACCTGACTCAGTTACACCAGCTCTGTCTGTAGGAATGGGCCAAAATTCACCCAACTTATTGTGGGAAGCTTGTGGAAGGCTACCCGAAACGTTTGTCCCAAGTTATGTAAACTTCTGACCCACTGGGAATGTGATGAAATAAATAAAAGCTGAAATAGATAATTCTCTCTACTATTATTCTGACATTTCACATTCTTAAAATGAAGTGGTGATCCTAACGGACCTAAGACAGGGAATGTTTACTAGGATTAAATGTCAGGAATTGTGAAAAACTGAGTTAAAATGTATTTGGCTAAGGTGTATGTAAACCTCCGACTTCAACTGTATATACAGTGAGGGAAAAAAGTATTTGATCCCCTGCTGATTTTGTAAGTTTGCCCACTGACAAAGAAATGATCAGTCTATAATTTTAATGGTAGGTTTATTTGAACAGTGAGAGACAGAATAACAACAAAAAAATCCAGAAAAACTCATGTCAAAAATGCTATAAATTGATTTGCATTTTAATGAGGGAAATAAGTATTTGACCCCCTCTCAATCAGTAAGATTTCTGGCTCCCAGGTGTCGTTTATACAGGTAACGAGCTGAGATTAGGAGCACACTCTTAAAGGGAGTGCTCCTAATCTCAGCTTGTTACCTGTATAAAAGACACCTGTCCACAGAAGCAATCAATCAATCAGATTCCAAACTCTCCACCATGGCCAAGACCAAAGAGCTCTCCAAGGATGTCAGGGACAAGATTGGAGACCTACACAAGGCTGGAATGAGTTACAAGACCATCGCCAAGCAGCTTGGTGAGAAGATGACAACAGTTGGTGCGATTTTTCGCAAATGGAAGAAACACAAAATAACTGTCAATCTCCCTCGGCCTGGGTCTCCATGCAAGATCTCACCTCGTGGGGTTGCAATGATCATGAGAACGGTGAGGAATCAGCCCAGAACTACACGGGAGGATCTTGTCAATGATCTCAAGGCAGCTGGGACCATAGTCACCAAGAAAACAATTGGTAACACACTACGCCGTGAAGGACTGAAATCCTGCAGTGCCCGCAAGGTCCCCCTGCTCAAGAAAGCACATATACATGCCCGTCTGAAGTTTGCCAATGAACATCTGAATGATTCAGAGGAGAACTGGGTGAAAGTGTTGTGGTCAGATGAGATCAAAATGGAGCTCTTTGGCATCAACTCAACTCGCCGTGTTTGGAGGAGGAGGAATGCTGCCTTTGACCCCAAGAACACCATCCCCACCGTCAAACATGGAGATGGAAACATTATGCTTTGGGGGTGTTTTTCTGCTAAGGGGACAGGACAACTTCACCGCATCAAAGGGACGATGGACGGGGCCATGTACCGTCAAATCTTAGGTGAGAACCTCCTTCCCTCAGCCAGGGCATTGAAAATGGGCCGTGGATGGGTATTCCAGCATGACAATGACCCAAAACACACGGCCAAGGCAACAAAGGAGTGGCTCAAGAAGAAGCACATTAAGGTCCTGGAGTGGCCTAGCCAGTCTCCAGACCTTAATCCCATAGAAAATCTGTGGAGGGAGCTGAAGGTTTGAGTTGCCAAACATCAGCCTCGAAACCTTAATGACTTGGAGAAGATCTGCAAAGAGGAGTGGGACAAAATCCCTCCTGAGATGTGTGCAAACCTGGTGGCCATTTACAAGAAACGTCTGACCTCTGTGATTGCCAACAAGGGTTTTGCCACCAAGTACTAAGTAATGTTTTGCAGTGGGGTCAAATACTTATTTCCCTCATTAAAATGCAAATCAATTTATAACATTTTTGACATGCGTTTTTCTGGATTTTTTTGTTGTTATTCTGTCTCTCACTGTTCAAATAAACCTACCATTAAAATTATAGACAGATCATTTCTTTGTCAGTGGGCAAACTTACAAA